ATTTTTATATATATTTGTTATTATTATATTTATTATTATATTTATTATATTATTATTAATTATTATTATTTATATATATATAAAAGTAGGAAAAAAAAACAAATAAGAAAGAAGAGAAAGAAGAAGAGGACGATGGGTGTTGATGGTAAAGTGGTGATGGTAGTGGTAGTGGTGTTGAGGTGGTGGTCATAGAAAGTGCTATAAAAGGTAGTCGGTTTTAATAGCTTCGTCGTTGCTATCAAAGAGGATAGTAATTATTTAAATAGCTCTGAGTAAACGAGCAACATCGCTAAAGGAAAAGATAGAGAAAGAGAAAGAAAGAGAAAGAAAGAAAGAAAGAAGGAAATTTTCTAAACGAATCTCGTTTAAAAAAATCTACGAGATAGGGAAGAAAGAACATTGTTGGAACGTAAAATAAACGTAAAATCTAGTTTATTCCGTCGTCTAACATCGTCCTCAAGGAAAAACTAAAATGGGATATGTATCCTTCTATGTTGAGTTGATTTAACAAGAGGGAGAGAGAGAGAGAGAGAGAGAGAGAGAGAGAGAGAGAGAGAGGGTTAAAAAGATATTAAAAAAAAAAGGATACCTTTCTAAAAATCTCAATTTGATATCTTGTCAGAAGAAAAATATGAACAAATTACAAAAGTCAATCATTCGAACATCGTATCTCACTTTTAAATCAATCTAATTTGTTATAAATATAAATATACAAATAATATTATCATATATGATAATACAAATGAATCCTTTTGATTGCTGAATACTTTGAACTTAAGTATAAATTGTTGATTATTGTATACGACTAGATTTTCTATTAGATTGATATTATTAATATCACAAATCTAATAATAATAATAAATTTTTGCGACAAACACATACATACACGTACACGTATATTGCATCGATAAACAATGCTGGCAACTTTCACCAAACGCATATATGCGACAATAGCAATCAAAGTGTCAATAATTGCACACGTTAAACACGTTTGATTATTATACCGTCATATTAAAACGTAATAATATAATATAAATATAAAATAAACTATATATATATATAAAAATTGCATTTTCTTTTTCTTTTTATTATTATTATTATTATTATTATTATTATTATTATTATTATAGGTGACTCGGGTGGTTGTGGTATTAACAATCAAATGATCGAATGGATGGAAAAAATCCAAAATTCTGGTGAATTAGATGTCCCGATTCCTATTAAATTGAAAAAAAATGTTAAGCCAAAGGTTGAGCCATGGACTGGCGATCCGGAAACACCTGGACACAAATATACCAGAGAAGCTAATGAACCTAATCATCGAAGAACACGCAGAGCAACAAGACCAAAGGAAGACAATAAGAACACCTGTTCGTTGTTCATTCAAACGGATCCTCTTATTTGGCGGCATATATCTGAACAGGTTTGAGAACGATGTCTTCTTCTTCTTCTTCTTTATTTTTTTATTTTGTCGTACATGTTATTTTTTTCTTTTTGTTTTTTTTTTGTTCGTGTTATCTTCTCGTGTTCGTTCGTTCGTTCTTCTTCTTCTTCTTATTTTACTTTGGCTTTAACTTGTTATCTTGCTTTTGACGAATGAAGAAAGTTGTTTTTTTAAAAAAGAAAAAAAAGAAAAAAAAAGTACCCATCATCTACTACCATCGGCTTTTCCAGCTGCATCACGACGCGGAAAAAACGAAAGAGGAAATCCTCTCTTTGATAGCGCATCACGTAACTGCCGTGAACTACATTTACAGAGACACCAGATTCGACGGTAGAATCGAGCACAGGAACATCAAGTTCGAAGTGCAAAGGATAAAGGTAAATGTTTCCTTACTTTTTCTTTTTCTTTTTCTTTTTCTTTTTCTTTTTCTTTTTCTTTTCTTATTCTCTTCTCTACTTTACGGTTTGACTTGTTACATTTTTGGTTTAATATAATCAACAACAAAAAGAAAAAGAAAAGAAATCTGAAATATATCCAAACATTTTGAATTGTTCGTTTATTATTGTGATCATTGTTATACGAAAAAAAAAATAATACGATAATATTAAGATTAATCGAAAGTTCTTCTTCTTCGCGCGTGCGTTTTTATTTTTTTTTTAAATTAATATTTACAAAGTAAATTTTTTTGTAAATAAAACACAATCCATATTATATGCAGTTTTCAAAGTAAAGTTTTTTAACGTGCAATAAAAATGCATCTCTAATATATATATATTTATTAATACACTATTGCAATTTATTAACACGAACATTTTGTTCTTTTTTTTCCCTTTTTTTTAATAACAGATCGACGACGATACAGCGTGCACGCAACAACAGAATTACGGTGAACCAAATCCATTTTGCATGGAAAACATAGACGTCAGTAATTTTTTGAATTTACACTCGTTGGGTAATCACGAGGATTTTTGTCTCGCTTACGTGTTCACTTATAGGTATGTTCAACAAATTTTTATTTTCTAATGACAATTATTCCTTCGACCATATTTTTATTTGTACATTAATATTATTTTTCTACGATTTTTATATTATAACAGAGATTTTACCGGTGGTACGCTCGGACTCGCTTGGGTTGCTTCAGCGTCCGGTGCTTCCGGTGGTATTTGCGAAAAATATAAAACCTATACGGAAACAGTTGGTGGGATGTATCAATCAACAAAAAGATCTTTAAACACTGGTATCATAACTTTCGTCAATTACAACAGCAGAGTTCCGCCTAAAGTTTCTCAATTGACATTGGCACACGAAATAGGCCATAATTTTGGATCACCGGTAAGAATTTTAAATATATTTATATAAGATCATTTACATTATTATTAATTTTACATCCATTCTATTAATTATTATCTTAATAATAATAATAATTGACTAAAACCCTATCACCTTCCTCTCACCCCACCCTAATACCCATCATGGTATTTCTAATTTGTTTTTTGTTTTACATTTTAATCTCCAATCTTTTTTTCTTATATTTCCCAGCACGATTTTCCACCGGAATGTAGGCCAGGTGGTTTGCATGGTAATTATATCATGTTTGCTTCTGCAACGAGCGGTGATCGGCCTAACAACAGCAAATTTTCAAGATGTAGCATCGGTAATATCAGCAACGTCTTGGATGCTATTGAGGATAACAAGAAGAGGAATTGTTTTACTGGTAAAATATATCATTCTATTTGTTTATCTTAATTTTTCTCGGATGATCCGTCTCTTTTAACTTTTCATTAGAAAAAAAAATATATAGATATATAATTTTTAATAATTATATGAGTACAAACTTAAATGAAAATAATATATTCGACAACATTCTGACGCTGTAATTAATTTCAACGTGTTAAAAATGAAAATTAGAAATATGAATAATGAAACACCCGCACCCAACTTCCCCCCACCCCATTAACGCTCGACTTTTCAACAGCGTCCGCCGGTGCATTTTGCGGTAATAAAATCGTTGAAGCTGGCGAGGAATGCGATTGTGGTTACGACGACGACGAATGCGTTGATAAATGTTGTTATCCTAGGCAAGTGTCGGAATTGGCTAAGATTAAAAACGAAACGGCTAAAGGGTGTAGCAGAAAATACGGTACACAATGCAGGTAAATATTCATGAAAATATAATTGACGTGAATTATTTGAAAAAAAAAAAAAACCTATGAACATCGAATAAGAATTTCATTTATTCAAATGAATTTTCTCGCAAGAATTCTTATTGTATTATTTTGTTCTATTTTCCTTTTTTTTTAGTCCCAGTCAAGGACCATGTTGCTCTAGCGATACGTGCCAATTCGTACCATACTCTCACAACGTTCAATGTAAAACAGAATCGGATTGCAGTTATAATTCCACGTGCAATGGGAAATCATCTGAGTGTCCTGCACCATTGCCAAGGGCCAATAAAACAAGATGCAACGAAGGAACTCAGGTATACATTATATATATGAACCGTTTATTTTAAAAGTAGTGTAAGTCCATTTGTAATCTATAAATATATATTATTTTAATTAAATTAGCCTAAAAAGTAATGTATATAATCAAATTACATATTTGATATAATTAATGAATATTTTTAAATTAACCAATAATATTATGCAAACCTTTAAATTTTCTCAAAACAACAGAAAATGGACTTACACAACTTTCAAAATAAACGCTCCATATATATATTTTTGTTTTTGATTGATAATTTGTTTAAATTCTAATTTTTATATTATCCTCTTAACTCTGAGTTTTATATTTAAAAAAAAAAAACCAAAAGATAGGAATAAAAAAAGAAAAAAAGGTGTGTTTTAAAATGATTTTTCTTTCTTTACCACGTATAGCTGTGTATCAACGGCGAGTGTACCGGATCCATTTGTCTTGAATGGAATATGACTGAGTGTTTTTTAACGAGCAACATCATTCCAAACATAGACAAACGAAAACTTTGCGAGCTTGCTTGCCAGAATGGTACCGATCCATCGACTTGTCGAAGTACAAGCGAGTTTGCCCAAGTCGTTGGCCTACCGGATGGTGGAATCAGTTTGAGACCTGGCTCACCCTGTGACAACTTTCAGGTACTTTTTTTTTTTCTTTTTCTCTCATGGATTAACCCTATTACTTTTTTGAGGGGGTTGGGAACAAAAAAGAACAAAAAAAATCTGTAAGAAGGAATAATGTTACACATACGTTTATATCTATGTCTCTAAACTTTTTATATATATATATATATATATATATATATATAGGGCCTATATGTATAACTTTTATAAATATATCAATTTATCATTTAGGGTTACTGCGACGTCTTCTTAAAATGTAGAGCGGTCGATGCCGAAGGACCACTCGCACGATTGAAAAATCTCTTATTCAATAAGGAAACTTTATCGACCGTGGCCCAATGGGTAACTGTAAGTTTTTCACCCCTATGATACTTTAAACATTCTTTTTTTTATTATTTTTTTTTCTTCTTGCTTTACGACACTTTGTGTGAAAAATGATACAATAAAATAAATGTTAATAAATATTCGACAGGAATACTGGTGGGCAGTGCTGTTAATGGGTATAGCTTTTATCATTTTTATGGGATTGTTTATCAAATGTTGTGCAGTGCATACGCCGTCTAGTAACCCGAAGAAACCACCTGCAAGACGTATTAGCGATACATTGAGAAGGCCAATGAACACCCTTAGGAGGATGGTAATATTATTATTTTATTCATATTTATATAATTTATATCGTATAAATCTCAGACACGTCAAGCTAGTTTTATTTGTCATCGAGTGTTCTCTGCGTTGGAAAAAATTTAAAAAAATGAAAATCATCAAACGATATAAGCGAGAAACAATATTTGTGCATTTGACATGTCTGATATATAAAAATTAATATATAATAACTAAGAAATATATATTTATTTATTATATATATATGAAAGTATATTCATTAAATTATTTTTAAAGCGACATCCTCACGGAGGTGGAGGACCAGGACCAAGGAGTATACCTCCAAGACAAGGTCAAGGAGGATATAGTGGAACACGAGGGCCCTCTCATGGTTATGGAGAGGGTAGGGGAGCTCAGCATTATCCTAAAGGTGAGGATAGAAACAAATCTTCCAAATGTTATGTCGAAGCAGCTGCCTTTGGCTCGAGTTTGATACTACTAACGTTTTGTTACGTTGTTTGTAATAACAAATACGCTCAATAATCATATTCCTATGCTTTATTTAAGAACACATTGAGCGCTTACTCGTTAATCGAATTTTGTTATTTCTTTTTCTTTTTTTGTGCCCCATATAATCCAAATTTTAAAGCTTCATTAACATTACATGCGATCATAATTAATTCACAATCGCTTTTATATTATAATTAATGAATATTATCGTCTAAACAATATAATTTAATTTATTTTCATTTATTATAATATTTCAGCCATTTTCACGAAAGCCAATAAAGTGGCATGCAATGTGTTTACAAAATTATATCAAAGTATTATTATTTTACCGACACACATAATAACGCTCAACGTGTTCTTTTTTTTCCTTTTTTTTTTTTTTTATAAAAAAGCAAACTCGAGTAAAAGAAAAAGTTAAGCTAGCTTGTGATATCTTTCCTCAGTATAATTCCGCAATTACATCAATGTGTGTTTTTCCTGTTTGCATCTATCCCGCATTGATTGACGCGCATCACTACCTGATACTATCGTTCTATGAACTAACTACAGAGGTGAGCTGGGGCCTATACACACACACAAACACAAATACAAACACGTACATACTATCCTCTATATCTTTATTATTTATCCATTCGAGACTAGGAGCAAATTCACGAATAAATCCATATAGAGAATATTTTCAGTTTAATTAAAAGTACGCGATCGAAGGGCTCCAGCAGACTTCTATTCGAAGTCTTCTCAATCACTTGCACGATATATACTAATTGAAAAATCACCACCCTAGGTTCTTGTATTTGCTCCTCGTTTTTTCATTATTCACATACCGCCTATTTTTATATATATATAGTGTATCTCTATGTGTTATAGCTAATCAATCCACAATCATTTCGCTATTGTTAAAAAAAACTAATCAAATAATTTGAAAGAATAAAAAAAAAGAAATATATATATAACATGATACAATTGCATGCAAAAGTTAGTGAAAATTAATCAAACTAATCAAATAATTTGAAAAAAAAAAGAAAAGAAATATATATAACATGAATACAAATTGCATGCAAGTTAGTGGAAATTAAAAATGTTGACGCAACCCTGTCGAATCTAACATATTATTTTTTGTGTGTGAAAATGAATAGAAAAAAAAAAAAAGAAAAAAAAGCCTAATCGTTGCTAAGGATCTTCATATATATATCGTTTACATTATCTAACGTCTTTCTAAACAGGCTATCGCTTGGTTCCCACAGCTAGTGCGCCACCAAGTAGCAGTGTCACAGGGAACTACGGTCGTTCCAACCACCCAGAATTGTACGCCGGTGCCTATTCGAACACCGGGGGAGGGGTTGCTCCTGGCAGAGCCCAGGCCTACGAGATGAGACATCACAATAAAGTTTGACGATCCTAGAATGCTGTCACACTCAGCAGGAGGCATCGGTGTCGTCGTATCGTAAAAATAACGTGCCCGGATATTTGTGAAACAAACCAATAAAGAACAAGAAAAATATACAAGAAGAGGAAGAAGAAGATGATGATGATGATGAAGATTAAGATGAAGATCTTGAAGATTGCAATAAGAAAAAAAAAACGTCCGGCAAATTGTGTGTTTTCGATAATGATGATGATGATAATGATGATAATGATGATGATAATGATAAAATAATAATGATGATAATGATAATTGATATTATCTACAATTTTGTACACACGCCGCGTGGTGCTGTTGACTCTATTATAAACAATTTCATGAAAAATTTCGAGAAAAGCACCGCTGTATGTGTCATTTCAAATCCGTATTTACGTTTTTAAAAACTATTCGCGTGCGAGCGAGCGAGCGAGCGAGCGTGTATGAGTGAATGATGATGATGATGATGATGATGATGATGATAATGATGAATGATTGTATGCGTACGACACCGTTATATGTGCGTTATCATTGGATGACAAAGTCAAAGTCATAAAATATCGTTTTATGCTTCGTCTCTAAAAGTGTGTATGTTGTGTAATTTGGAAAGAACGCGGAGCTAGAAAATAATAAAAAGGTAATAGAAGTGTTTAAAAAATAGGCCTTTGCGAGCTTGCGAAGAATCGATTTTCGAAGTTGGCATATGGTTGTGAAGTTTCGTATCACTTTCCATAGGAACAAAACAAAAATGGAAAAGAAAAAGAAAGAGAATATGTAATTAATTACTTATTACTTATAATCACGACCTACTTATATCAAAGCCCTTGGCAACAACAGAAAATATACGTTTTCAGATATTTTTAATTATACGCAAAATGGGGACGACAGCTACACTAAAAACTTCCTTTATAATTTCGAATAATAAATAAAAGAAAAGAAAAGAGAACAAAAAAAAAGAACAGACGAAAAAAAACACCGAAGATTATTCTTCTATCTCTCGTGTGCTTATTATTATTATTATATTTGCATTTTTCTTTTTTTTTTGTTGCAAATCGCGATTTGAATTTAAACAACAATTTAAAGCATTGATATTAATCGGATCTTTCGAGTAATGTTACTTTAATGAAATATTTTACGCGCGTATCTTTTCTTGGCCGTCTCGTAATAAGTTGCAGCGAAAGAAAACCAATATGTGATCATATATATATATTTTTTTTTCTTATTATTATTATTATTATTATTTTAATTATATATATATGTAAAGTCTGTAACACGTTTTTTTTTTTAAACGTCTTTGCCACTATTTTTACCGTTAGCATTTATTTACGCGAATTCTTGTTAATAAGGAGTAGAAGACTGTTGTAAAAAGAGAATGAAATAATAGAAAGAAAGAAAGAAAGAGAGAAAGAAAAAAAAGAGTGAAAATTCAAAATAATAGATGTGGAACGCGACAATATCCAGAGAGAGATAGATACCCTTCGATCTCTCTTGAGAATAATAGGATAAGGAATTTAAAAAAAAATAATTAAAAAAAGAAAAAATAAAATAAAAGAGATTAAAAAAAAAGCAAGTATTAAGAGAAAAAAAAAAAGAAGAACAAAGGTTCGGTTTAATTTAAAAAACGAGAAGAGAAGTAACGTTTCCGTCGTTCGACACTTTATCGTTTTATTTCTTTGGTTTTTTTTTTTTATTTTTCCCATTTCTTTTTATATATATATATATATATATATATACACACTTCCGTGAAAACTTTTAATGCATGCATAAAATAACGTGTATTGTATATTCTGAGAATACTTAAATTAATATCGTTGTTTAAAAAGAAAAAGAAAAAAAAAAAAGAAACAAAAAAACAATTAAGTTCTTCCCGTGTAAATACGTTGTACGTACGAATTTGCATCGAGAAATATTATTTTTTTTTCCATTTTTTTGTGTGATGAAATAAATATATATTTCTGGATGGCAGAAACGCGTGCGTTTACATTTTTTAGATTGAATTTTCTTTTTTTTTTGGTTTTTTTTGGTTTGATACTCCTTGATAGATACTCGAAGAAGAGCAAAGAACAAAAAGAGAGAGAGAAAGAAATAAGAAAAAGAGAGGAGTAATCATGTTCCATATCTTAAAAAACGAAAACGAACAGTCAAAGTCAGTCATTTGATATTTATCTATCTAAATGATAAATAACATAACGCCTATCACTACCAAACTGTTACAACAGGTCATTCGTTTGATCTCGGTACCATTTTAGGATAAATAATTAAAAAAAAAAAAAGAGAGAAAAAAGGGACAAAAAGAGAAAAAAAAAAAAAGAAGAAGAAAAAAATAGACAAAAAAAAAGATATAAACCATATGTGTACTACTATTCTTATACTAATTTTTTTATTAGACAATTGGAAAAAAAAAAAGCGCGATGCTATATTAATAAAATAATAAATTAAGAAAGAGAGAGAGAGAAAGAGAGAGAGAGAGAGATGATTAAAACCAACGGTGAAAAGAAAAGAAAATAATAAGAGAAAAAAAAATAAAAAAAGCGTTAGAAATTTCATGAACGATTGAAAATCGAACAACAAACCAACAAAGTGGGATATTGGATCGTTTAAATAAAGATTGATAATATTCCGCTTATTATTATTATTAATTCTATTATTGACTCTATTATTATTATTATTATTACTATTATTATTATTATTATTATTATTATTATTACATTATATTAGTTATCTATTACAAATGATAAAAATTTATCTACCGCGGCTGTCGCGAGTGTTATATAAATTATATTTAATATTAAAATACGACACATTAGATTATATAATGAGAAAAGAATGAAAAAAAAAAAAAAAGAAAAACATGCTAATTGTCAGGGGCTGCTTAAAAAGATGAAGAAGATGAAGAGAGAGAGAAAAAAAAATAAAAGTAACCGTAAACGCGCTTTCATTTTTTACGCGCATGGCGGACCAAAGATGACGAGCCCTTTTTTTTCTAATGCGAGCTCATTCCAACAGAATTATTGGGTTCGAGCAGCACACACACGCAAGCTGCATACTCGTATACGAGATGTCGAAAAATCCTACGCGAAACAAATAAATAATTTATTATTCTTTTCTTTCTCTTTTTTCTTTTTTTTTTTTTCCTTTTTTTTTTCTTTTTACTTTCTTTCTTTCATTTTTATTTTCCAACGCGAGACGAGATGCTATCGGTAAAAACCGATCTTGCATGATCATCGAACTGTTTTATTTAACCAAAAATTTTAATTAGAAAAAAGAAGAATACTTTAAATGATTTAAAGTAAAAGTAAAATGCAAAAGAAAAAAAGGAACGAACATAAAATAAGAGAAAAAGTAATACGGAAATTACGTGTGAAAAAAAAAGAAGTTAAATAATGAATTTTAAAAAAATAATAATAATAATAATATAAAACCAGCGAGATATTATTTTGGGAAAAGTGTGTTGTTGTATCTGCGATATACGAGTTTGCGGATCGTGTGAAAATGTACAATAGACGCATTGTGATTATTAAAACAAAAAACAAAAAAATAAATCGTGAGAGATCGTATAAGTAAGTAAATAAGTAAGAAAGAAAGAAAGAAAGTACGAACAAGATATTAGAAGAAAGAGAGAGAGAGAAAGAAAGAAAGAAAGGGAAAGAAAAAGGTTAAAAAATAGGGCGCGCAAGGGCGCATGTGAACATGAATAAAAAAAAAACAAGAAAAAAAATGAGAGAAAGAGTATACCTATGTAAATATATTGATATTATATAAATATATAAATATATAATTATATATATATTAACATAAACAAAATGGTAAAAAGCGAATATGAGATGAAGAAAAAGAAGAAGAAAAAAAAATACTTGTTTTTATATCAGATCTGTATTATAGCGAAACATTATTCTGTATTTTGTAATCAGAACGGAAGTTTTAAAGGATGACGAACGAGTGTCTGTCTGTTTGTCTGTCTCTGTCTGTCTGTCTGTCTGTCTGTCTGCTGTACGTGCGTGTGATCAGGCCCTTAGATTTTAAGGATTTAAACACGAGGATCGGGATCACCCATCGTTGAGAAAATCATACCGATCTAGATTTAAATGTTGTAAATCTAGATTATTTCTGATGAAAAGAAACACAACACACACACACATACACACGACAAGAACGAATCTTAAATTTTTCTCGTAACCGTAGGACACGCAAAACACATAACACACAATATACGCAACACAGGAAATCCACTAGGCCCCATTCGCGAGGAGGAGGACGATGATGTTTTAAAAAAATCTAAAATGACAGCAGGTAACAAAGAAATAAAAGAAAATAGAAAAATTAACGATTTACTGCCAAAAGTATCCGGTAAATGCGCAACCAAGAAGACGCGATATATAAATATTTACAAAAATAAATATAAAAAAAAAAAAATTATAAGAAGAAGAAAGATATTAACTTCCAATTGTATCATTTTTTTTTCTTTTTTTATTTAGTCACGTTTTATTCGCGAACGCAGCAAACTTTTACGAATCGATTTAACGAATTATGAAATATATTTTATTAGATGATCTTCCCACCCCCCCCCCCTTCATCCCCGCCATACTACCTTTCCCGATGACGATAAGATTTTTCATAAGATAATGTTTTTTCGTTCGTTTTTTAATATAATAATTATGATCGCGTTGTTGTATCATTGCCGTTAATATATCGTGTCGCCCGTGAATCATTAAACAATATTTAACAAATTAAATGAAAATAACCCACCGCTAGAGTTCGGTTTTCCCCGAGTGTGTTCACTGCCATTAAAAACACGATTTATTCAATATTTCAACAAAAGAAAATATTAGTTTAGACGTTGTTCGTTGTTACCCGATCGAACCGTTAAAAACAACCGAAAGGTTGACAAGGTTTTATTTGTTCCGTAGAAAGAAAGAAAAAATAAATAAAAGAAAATTGCTTCCAATTCACTGCCAGAAAACGGTTCGAACGACTGATTTTAATTAACGATCAAAGAAATATGTAACAATATTTACATGCATACATACATACATACATACATACATACATACAACATACATACATACACGAGTTCTTCCGAAGAGAGAACGATCGTAATTCTCTCGTTCGTATTTCTTCTCCGCTGCATTAGTTTTTACCTCTTTTGAAACAAAAACAAAAAAATAAACAAATAATAATAATAAAAGAATGCTTACGATATTAATTAGAAATTAGAAACAAGAAAACAATCGCGAATGGGGCCGCCCCGAGAAATGAGTGATATGATGCATGATGGATGGGTGGAGGGTAAGGGCGGAGGGTGTGATGCGCTTCTTTAAAAAAATTTCACGTAGTGCGAGATTTTACCTGAAGTTAATGTAAAAACAAAAAAAAAAAAACTCACGCAAAAACAACACAACAAAAAAGTGAAAACGAGAGAGAGAGAATTGTGGATTATGAAAAAAGAAAAAAAAAAAATACCAAATAAAATTAGAACAACCCTTTCGATTGAGTTGACCCTGCATCCCCGATAAGAAAAAGTAAAAAATAAAAAGGAAAAGAAAAGAAAAACAAAACAGAACAGAACAAAGGATAACAGCAGTCTTTATAATAATATACTAAACTAACATAAGTAAGGAAAAAATATGCTTGAGCTTCTTCGTTTTGTTTGCTGCAGTTCCTGGATTAAGATCCGTGGATTTTTGAAAGAAAAAAAAAACCGAAAAAAAAAAAAAAAGAAAAAATCAATACGTGTATATATATATATATATATTCTTCTGTCTGTCTCTACATTTTAACATTTATGTGATAACGAAAAAAAGAAAGAAAGAAAGAAAGGAAAAAAAAAAAAGGAAGAAAAAGTAATATATAAATATCGCGTAATAATAAAACATTCTTTATACCTCAAAATGCGAATATATTACTAATGTTTTAAACGAAGAAAAGGGAGGGGTAGGGGGGAGGGTTAGAAAGAGAGTGTATATTATGTGCGTGAAAGAGAGAGAGAGAGAGAGAGAGAGAGAGAAAAAGATATAGATTAAAAAATAAAACAAAATTATAAGCAATTCCATCCCCCCATCTTAATCCAGGTCTGCATCACCATGACGCCGATGATGCACATTTTACTCTATCACTTGTACATAATGTTTAGAGAGAAAGAGAGAAAACAAAAAAAAAAAGAAGTGAAGAGAAGAAAGAAAGATGAAGGAGGAAAACGGAGAAAAGGAAACAAAAGAAAAAAAAAAACATTGTGAAAAGTTATATTTTTTCTATCGATCCAAAAAAAAATGTGGTGACTTATCAACATCGTGCATCTCTGGAATGATTTAAAAAAAAAAAAAAAAAGAAGAGAACAAAAAGAACACAAAAAAAAAATATTAAGAGAGAAAAGAAAAAAAAAAAAAAGAAATACTCTCTCAAAAGCGTTCGTTGTGCTGATTTAATGAAAAATATTTGTATCGAAAGAATTGCATTTTTCCCCCCTCTCAACAATCCCACACCCCCACGCACCCTTAATTTGTACCTATTTTTTTTTAATTTTATTTTTATTTGTAATTATATAACGAAACAATTTTGATCGAACGTCGAAAAAAGAAAATCATACCATACCAATTCTTTTCTATTCGTTGATACTTTCAGCGGTTCTTTTTTGTTTTTTTATTCTTTTTTTTTTTTAAAATATTAAAAAACAATCTCATGCATGATACTGACCAATCGCCTGAACGTAGTTTCAGACCACCACACTCTCTCTTTTTCCCGAAGTGTTTAGGATGTGGCGAGTGTTTTAAGGATATTTAAAATTTAAAACAAAAAATATAAGATAAAATTAAAAAAAAAAAAAACAAAAAAACAAAAAAAGGAATATGATTGTGAATATCTCTTGTGTTACGTTAATGTCATTAAAGAACAAACAAAAACATTGTAAAGAACTAAATAAAGCATACATTTTACATTTATCCCCCACCTTCTTTCTTGTTTTCCCTTTTTAGGAATCTATCTTGTTTTTTTTTATTTTTTTTTTAAATATGTAGCACTAATATTTCAGATTATTTTAAATGTGCAAAAGAAAAGTACACGAACCTAGAGAGAAAGATAGATAATAAATTGGTAATATTTTATATGGATGGATTTTATTTATTTTATAAACTATTGTAAAAGTTACCATTATACATAGAAAATGCAATGGATAAAGGGGATGAGACGATACTTGTTGGATGATGATACTTGCGTACATTACGCAAATACGTTTATTCTTATAGCGTGAATCGAGAATTTCATATATATATATATATATAATATTTCGTTTCTTCTCGTATAATAAAAAAATTCTCTTACGTAATGATAATTTACGGAATACTGTCTAACAATGAAATGAAAATATACTATCCTCTAATAATATATTTATATATATATTATATATAAATTGTCTTTAAATCGCGTATCAAATGTCTTTTTAGAGGACACGAATTGGTTCACTATAGAAAATGCTCCGACTGGGATGATTGATTATAACACTGGAAATTTTGTTGTTCCTTTTCGTCGCAGATCGTTTCTCTCAAAACACAACTTTATTTTTCTTTCTTTTTTTTTTCAAATCAAAATAGACAAAGTGGAAAAAAATTTGTTCGATGATCGTCAATGATCCCGAAAAAATGTGTCTTCCTAGACGTTGACATTAAAACGTGGTACATATATTATTGTTGCAGCAGGACATACATAGACTCGAATTAGTTTTGATTTCTCCCAATGATAAATTTCTTGGTCAGAGCTTTTTACTAATATTATTATTGTTATTATTATTATTATTAATATTATTATTATTTTAATATTATTATTATATTATTATTTATTATTAATATTATTATAATTATTATTATTATTATCATTTTCTTTTCGTTCTCTCTCATTTTTTAAAGTTATAATCCCAATGATATATAGTGTACGGTAAGTTTGTTGATGGTACACAATTGGACGTAGAAAAGTAACTCTGAGTATGACTATAGTGCGTTTTGATCGTTGATTCGATATATAATTTTCTTGTTATCATCGTAATCTCTATGGCTGAGAGTGTTCAAGCTTGTACACGTCGTGATATGCATTTCGTATAAGAGCGTATGGAAAACAACTTTCCAATAAATCCATTGTTAGGAAAGGGGATTCTTGAACTATTTGATCCAACAAAAGATAAACGGATTCTCTGTTTCTAGTCGCTTCTTTATCAGCTTCTTGACCGAGTCTTAATAGACTGGATGAAGCTAATGCAAGGAATTCCTTCATTCTATCCTCTATATCATTTTGTCCGCAAATCGTAAATAACGCACCAAATATATTATTTATCGCTGTTGCCATACAATGAATATTATTCGAGTGGCCTTCAAGAGATGCTCGATAAAATGAATTTTCGTTTTTTGCTAATTTTGGAATAGATACAGCTACGAATACCATTAATAAACAAACCAGCAAGTGTTCATCTTCGCCCACTTCTGCTTTTTGACTTCTTAAAGCAGTGGTTAATGTAGGATCAACTTTACACGTTAAACCAGCAGCAGATGTCATCTCAGAAACGATCCTCATTGGATCTCCAGATGGTAAATGATGTCGAAAATCAAGAATCGAACTCAGAAGGAACGGAATACGTTCTTCCAAAACGTCGACCAATGCAGATTGTGCCAATTGCCTGAAACTCAGTATTACTCCTATTATAGCTACTCTCTGAAGTACATTATCAACGCTTTGCAATCTTTTGAATTGTTCTTTCATTACTTCAGGTTTATCAAAATTAGTTCTTAATGCTATAAGAACGTCCTTGTTTCCTGTGACTAATTTTTTTAATTGTTGTACTTGGCTAGCTATATGCCACATTAGATTTTCGTTTAACATCTTCATACCATATGGTCCAATTAATTCGGCCAATGCTCTTAGTTCGTTAATATCAGAGAATTCCTCGGCATTAAAAGGAATTGCTCCCTCTACTGATAAACTGACAAATGCTCTTTGGTTTCCAGAATAACATATGTTTCCAGCACTAACTCGTCTAAGGAGTACATCAGAATACCATTGTGTATATAATGCAGCTATAGTTTTATCACCGTGACTATCTAACTCTTGAGTCTGTTGGAGAAGAGCATTGTTGAATACACGAGTAATATCTATGTGTACATAATTTTCTACTGTTTGAAGAACATTCATGTACGATCTGACACTAACAAATAATTCTGATGGTTTAGCTATCTCGTTTGTATCCGAATTATACATAACCATTCCAACAAGGGCTCTAGCAAATCGCGATTCAAGATGTTGATGTAAGTATTCTCTAGGTGCAAATGTATATTCCCATACATTGATGGTAGGACAATAATTAATCGCATAACACAACTCTGTTAAAGCCATATGTAATTTATCCATCGTTGTTAATTCTTCTCTAGTTTTCCTGTAACTTTCTATACCTGGTTTATGTATCTCACTCATATTCTTCTTATTCTTGTCCTTTTTCTTTCTATTGACAACTTGGGATATTAATACCGCGCAATGTTTAGGTAAAAGCATATCGCTCATATTGCATTGTTCGTCGCAAATAGTCGTTATTATGTTCTTAGCTTCTTTAGCCATTTCATCTAAAAACATATTTACAACAGATAAACTTCTTTCGCGAATATGATGACGTTCCTCTGGACACAATTCGTGCGTACAACTTTGAAAGTGACTACATATAAGCGGGAAAGCTACTATGTATCGATTTTGAGCCGGAAATTCTAAACACATGTGAAATTGATCCTCAAATATTTTACTGTAAAAACAAAATATCGATAAATCCGAAGTTTCAACTAACATTTCATCTAAATTATCTACCATTTTGGTATGAAAAACTACCGTATCCATGAAAGAAGCTAATTCTCTGTTATCTGCTAAATTCATATTACATTTGGCAATAGACATATAAGCTTGTAATCTAAACCAGTCCAATCTGAAAGGACGAAAATCGAATAGTTCGTTATCCTCTACTTGCTTTACAGTCAAACTCGCGATCGTTGAGCACATATCACTAAGAATTGCTCCCTCATCTTCAGGACAAACTGGAAGATTTTGTATCATTTGATGCAATGCAGGAGCATCAAATCCTGAGAGAAATTGTACATAATACCTCTGAAGCACCTGAGAATACTTCTTTACCAAGGCTCTTAATTCTTCGCAATGAAAAAGTAATTCTGGTAACTGTCGATCCACTAAATCTTCGCTGCCTCTGCCTTTCCCTTTTCCTTGAGTTGGAGGATTATCACCGTGTCTTAAAAGCCATAGTACTTCATCTCTCGCATGAGATAGTCCCATTAACACAAGCAATGCTTTTGGTCCGAGAAGACCAGGTTGATCCGTTAAAATTAAACCTAATTCCTTTAAAGCTGTCCTCAAAAATTTTCTTCGTTCTCTGTGTCTATAGCCAGCTTTCTGTACCGCTTGATTATAACAATCTTTAACTTCTGATACCCTTTTACTATATCCTTTCATACTCTCAAAAAATGTCTGAATATACTGATGTATATAAATAACTTCATCTCTAAACAAAGCTAATACCCACCCAGATTCCAAAGCAGTGATCCAAAGTTTATTAGGTTGTTCTTGACTCAAAAAAGTATGGCAAAGCGTGAAGCCGAGTATAACCCATCTTTCGACTCTATCTAAACTCAGAGTTTCACATGACATCGTATCTGTAGCAGCTGCTTTCAATATTTGTCCAGGACTTCCTACTAGACTGAGTTTCTGATCTGCCCTCCAAGTATCAGCAGTTAGATTTCTACCAGGATAAATGGGCCACAAAGAAGTGAGAGCATTTTTCAATAACTTTGAATGAGGAACAAATTCCTCGGAAAGTTTCTTTAAAGGTGCATCGTAATCCATTATCATTTGACCCAAACGAGGAAAGCTAGGATCAGATTGACTGTGCACCATTTCGTGAGCGGCATTAAAAAGACCTAATACAGCTTTACGGTCTTCGACTCTTGAGAGGAGTATCATTAAACTGACGTAAGTGACAACAAGATCCAGGTAACCTTTAGTCAAATCAAAATTGATAGTAATATCCATGTGTACACCACATGCGTCCATCGTAGTCAAGAGTTCGCAAACGTTGTCTTTGAAGTCGAGTAAATCTACAAACGTATAATAGTACAAAGAAAGAGATTTGATAATCTCATTACGCAGATTGGTAATCGTTTGCAGTCCCTTGATGTCGATATTAGGAAACTTTCTAACTATTGTCTTTATCGATGATTCAAGAGTCTTATCGGAAAGAAATCCAGGTTTGGATTTGGCATCGCCACAAGCCTTCTTAATATTATAAATACGTGTGAGCATCCCAATACCTCTATCATTTAATATAGTTAACTTCTCAGCCAACTTTTGTTGACTTGGTACAATAGGACGTGCCATGATTACGTTTTTCACTTTTATTTCACAATACTGACATAACTCGTTAATTCTTTGGCTTTAAATGACAGAAGACCCCACCCCTAGGGGGGTGATCTGTTAACAAGAAATACGTCTCAAGTATTTCCAACTTAGTTCTGCAACAAATTTCTATATTACATCTTTTTTTTTTTTTTTTTTAATAATAGAGAGAAAAATAATTATTATTATAATTTCGTTATAAACAATCAATGTACCTTATTCTTACATATTTAATCCGAATAAATGACACAACAGTAAAAAATTTCTGTATACGTTCGCATACCGCGTTATGTGGTATCTTCATTCCACACTGATGCCAACTTAATCAAAAAATATACGAGGTTTAATACGTCGCGTGATTGGATAAAGAAGAAAGAACGTGACCAATCATAAGATGGCTACTTGGATAAGTTTAATACGAATCAGAGACAAGACTGTAACTAACCACTACTATGATTCGCGGTATTTTTTTAAATTCAAATAAAATCCTATTCAAATTTTCAAGAAACATTTTCAACTTCTTTGTTTAATTATAAACAATTATCATTATTAATTATAATATTCTAATAAATATTTCATTATATATATATACAATGAATCGTACACTATTACACTTATTAAATTTTTACTTGAAAATTATTGGTATAATATGTTTAAGATGAAAACAATTTAGAATATATAAGACAAATTTATAATTTATAAAAATACACATTAGTATATACTTTTATTATATATTTAATGAATTTTAATTGAACGAATTATTTGCAATAAGTGAATTAAGCAAATACGAAAATAATATACAAAAAAAATACCGTCACTAAAAATCGTACATGTTGATATAATTAAAAACAAGAGAAACACTTGTCTTTTTTTTTTTATTTAACAGTTAGGCGTCTTGTTTTCATTTAAATGTTTTTTAATATCAAATCAATTTAATACGTATTCAAATACATTTGTTTAAAAATTACGTATCTATTAATATACTTAGAATATCAAATAATTTCGATCAAATATTGTATTTCAAAAATTTTCAAAAAAAAAAGTTGTCACTAACTAGGAACGTTAAAACAATTCAAAATATTAGCAAAGTGCATTTAAGTATTGGACATATCTTAAATGATTGTTAATTAATCGAAAAAAATGTTAATTTTTGTTTAAAAGCTCGTAGTATATGATCTACGTACCGTCTCCTTCGAAATCCACCATTGGACTGACTCATTGTCCTTTATAAAAGTTCTTTTATTACATTTCATTTATGTGACTTTCCAAACGTTGCGCATGTGTATAAAATATAATTTTCATTTCATTAGACATACCTCACGTAGGACCAGAAAGAAATGTCGTTTTTTTTAAATAGTTCGCGTCAATAATTTTTATACTTATAGCAAACGGATTTTAATGATTTTTATATTAAAGTTCACTCTTTTTTTTACGCGTAGAATACTTTGTCGAGTTATAAATCGATTTGCAAAGGTTCATAAAATGATGAACAACGAGCTAGTCTACCAATGAATTTCGAAGCAGAAGGTACATACATCGAATTTATACCCCGTTGTTTTAAATTACAATAATAATATTTTATATGAGTCTTATGATACTCTATGTACTTTTTAAGAACTCTAATAATAAACATTATATCAGCCGTTTTTTAACGAGCAGTGCAGTCGGTGGTCACGTCGCAATCATTGACGTAATAAAAAACTTGCTTGTAAACCGGAAATGCCTTCACATGCAAGACTCAGAATTTTTCAACCCTCTTCCTATACGTAGTACATACATTTCTTTAATAAATAAATAATACTTCTATTTATTTCGTTTAACTATAAGAAAGAAAAAATGTTAACGCAATCTTTGACAAAATCATGACAAAAATTTGCATTCTACTGTATGATTAGCTAAAAACTTTTCAACCCTCCTATACGTAATAAACGCAATACATTTCTTTAAATTTAGACCAAACCAATGTATCTACATAACATATTTGTTATCGATATTTGTATTTTTTAATTCATATAAGAGAAAAAAGAAAACAACAAAAAACAAAAAGAGGAAAGAAAAAGAGAATAAAAAGAAGCTGTGCATAAAAAACAAAGCGAATCTTGTGCATTGGATGCAGCCTAATAAGCATCACGTCACGAACGAACAATACGTTTGCCGCGCAATTCTAATTGGCAGGCATTCCGCGTTCGGTTGCGAGCTGAAAAAATCGTTTGGCTGAAATATGGCAAGCCGGTCTCAAAAGATAGCCGCCATCACGATCGTCATGCCGCAATGTACCGAGCAACGAGTTATGCACCCCTTACAGTTTGTAGCACGAGATACTACGCGAGCACGTGAGAAGCACCTCCAAAATATCACTGATTGTGAAGACCCGCGTTAAACAAGTTTTTGCTCCTTTTTATTATCCCCATGACGTACCCCGTAATAAAGTTTAATTTTTTTTCCTTTTACATATTTTTTAACATAACTATAATACTCTCAATAAAGGATTATCGATTTATATTTAATAGTATAAGTTCAAATATAAATGACAAATATCTAAAAGTATGTATGTATTTATGAGAACATATCTATCTTCGCGGATTATACATATTTAAAAATAAAAAACAAAAAAAAAGATGATTAAAATTTTTGACGGCAACGTTCCGTTCTCGTTGAAATTCTATTCGCGCTATTTATCTTATTTTGATCAAGATAAAAAAGATAATCTATTTCGCAATGTTTTACGCGATCTCGTAAATAAGTCCATTAATTACGTACGAACGGACGGGAAATACGCGCAAGAATGTTAGAGAATTATAGTTCTTTACTAGGAATATAAAGAAAGAAAGAAAGAAAGAAAGACCCTTGAATTTTGATTTACGTCAAAAGTTCGGCTCCGGTAAACAAATGTGATACCACGTGGAATACGAGATAGTTCGCGAAAGGGGAGGTATGTATAGTTTTGTATTCCGCGCATTATTTCCAACAAACGTCATATATTTTATGGTGAATTCGTGGCTAGACTCCTCCTCTCCTCGTTACTTTTTCATCGTGTCACGGATTTTACGTCATACTTTTAATTTGACGTATCAAACGTTGAATCATTCAAAAATCAAAATGAATTAAGAACAATCATCATCGAACTTTTTTTTTGTTTTACTAGAAAGATTCAAAATTGTTTCAAACGATCAAAAAAAAGAAAAAGAAAAAGAAATCTAAATAAGTAGTCAGTTTATTCAATTTAAAATGTATTTCAATGAGATAAATGAAACAAAATTGACGAATGGTTTGACGTCAGAATCCACGTCAAGGATACAAACGTCGTACAGGCTCGTGTTCTAATCTCTCCGGAAACGTGAGATTCGTCGAACGAATATAAAAATCGTTTTACCGATCGATTTTCATTTTGTACCTTGTACGATGGGAGTTCTATCTCTATCTATCTATCTCTCTCACTCACTCTCGCGTGTCTCGTCCAAAGAATAAAAAAAAATAAGAAAGACAGAAGAAAAAGAAAAAGAAAAAGAAAAAGAAGAAGGTTCGCAGGTGGTTTGATTGTCAGAGGGATCGATCCTCCTCCTCCTCCTCCCCCTCCTCCTCCACCTCTACCTCCCATCGAGTAAGAAGAAAGCTCCTTTGCATCGATTTCTTTATCGATGCAGGATTCGTAGTCCTTCTTGTATGTGTGGAAGGAAGCAGCAGCCGCGCTTGCTCGCTAGCTCGCGCGAGCGCAAACGTTTATGTCGGCCGACGATACACCTGCGACTATTTTATGTCTTCCCTGGAAAACCTGGACGCTAAATCCCATACGTAGAGGACCCTAACTCGATCTCCTGACTGCTGATCAGCAGGATACGTTTTTTCGAAAGCGTTCCACGGTCTCACGTGCCCGCTGCTACTCATTTTGTTTAACGATCACTTTCATTCATTTTCCTCTTTTCTTTTTCTTTTTCTTTTTATATTTATTTCTCTTTTTATTCTTTTTTACGTAGAGAGAAAAAGAGAGAGAGAAAGACAGAGGCTCGTAACACACTTACGCATACACGCACAATGCAGGACCGTTCATTGACGTAGTCATTCGTTACTTCAATCGATGATCCATATTCTTTGTTCTTTTTTATTTCATTTTATTATTATTATTATTATTATTATTATTATTATTTGATAGGTATTTTGTTAAATACATTTTTATTCTATATATATTATCAATATATACTTTTTGTTCATTATAAATAAATTAAATATTAATAAAAATATTTCGTTTATTTTTGCGTAATACATTGAGGTGAAAAAAAATTTGTGAAAAATATTCAAACGATAAATAGTATAGACGTTTTTTTATTTACTGTTAGGTATAATATCGTATGCCTATTTCGTAGCACAAGACTATAGTACGATTAATTATTGAAATTAATTTCTTTCACATTCTTTTTTTTAAGATTGAAGATCAATCTCAGAAAAATCTTTGTTCTAAATAGAATTGAATTTTACGTGTATATGTATATGTATATATATATAAGTCGATTTTTATGATATCAAAGTTATCCGAAAATATTCGTGTAGCATCTAACGTAGGTAACTATGAGATTCGCATATTAATCGGCACATAGCTTTGGAATTTCGCAGGCGAGTCGACGAACGAGTCGAACGATCGAGCATGTTGCACGAGTCGCGTAATTCGACTTTGGCTAATCTTAATTCAGAGCTTATATACGGTAGGGAGAGGAAAGAAAATGAGATTCCATTGGCGAATACCCATGTATATTCACGAAAACAAAAAAATCCTGCCGAAAAATATTCGACGATTCTTGAGAAATCCTTTAAGTTATTATTCCCTTTTTTTTCTTTTCTACAAGATCGAAACTTTTTCATCCAAAATTATAGCCGTTAACAAAACGAAATAAACACTCAACACGCATTTATAATAACCAAATTAACAACTTATTACGCGAACAATTTTTATACGTAAAATAAATCGAAAGTTAGACATTTTTTGTTTTTTAATTTATATTACAAGTTCGATCCAAAATAATTAGTCCGATATAGTCCGTTAAAAATAAAAAGGGGGGTAGTTTCGTATCTTTAAAGTTTAATTTTTAAAATATAAATCATTATACACTACGTATTATATAAAGTTTTCCTTACTTATTTTTCTTTTGCATTTATGCATATAAATTTTTGTCATGAAAAAAAAGACGAATCCTTTTTAAATAAATATAAATTAGATTTTTTAGAGGCGGAACTTATACGTATCAAGTCTTCGTCATTCCATTAATAATAACCGTTATCCGATTAACAAAAAAGATTGATTTCAATATTTTGATACTTCCTGCCATTGCGGCTTTTTCGTTTAGTTAACGTTTGCCGTTTGCATATTGCAATTGCATATTCATATCGTAGATATGAAAGATCTGCATTTCACCATCTTTGTTTTGTGCTTCGCCATGTTAACTCTAAAATATCGATACTCTTAATTGGATTTATAATTAATCTAACTGTACCAATATTACAATAAACTTTTAACGATGTTCCGTTAATTGAAACAAAACAAAAAAATTGTTATTATACATTAAATTACATTAACTTATTCTTCTTCTTCTTTTTTGTAATAATTTTTAGAAAAAAAAAAATAGAAACAAAGAATATTACAAAAGTTGTGAATCCAATTAACATGTTCATAAGTATTGAAAAAATCTACAAATAAATCGTAATAATATAATATTAATATATGATTTAATGTAAAATACAATATAATTAATATATAATATTCAATTTCGCGAAATAAATGAAAGAAAAATATTCAGTGTTCGCAGTAGTGAATGAAATCGATGAAAAGAAAGATTTCAGAATAGATCGATAGTAGATTTCATTATTATGGAAGTTGCATCAATGATTAACATAAGAGAAGGATCGAAGGTCTGTGCTCGAGCTAACAGATGTTGTTTACGAGCGATTGCAAATAAGATCAACGATACGTATCGTTCGTTGATCGAATTTAAGAGTTCGTTGAAAAGCCTTGTTTCCGGTTCGTCTTACATTCCTTCATCCAACATCCAACGATTTCGATATAATTTGTTATAAATTTAAATTTTGTTCAATGGAAATTCAATGATGAATACAAAACTGACTGAAATAAAACATTTTGTTCGTCCATATATTGAAATTAATATAATATAATCATAAGAAAATTAATGAAATATTTATTTATTTTAACATCGATTAATATATTAAAATAAAAGAATTGTTTTACCTAAGAAAAGTATCAAATTAAAAAAAATGAAAGAGAGAAAATTCATTGAATTAAATTAAATTGAAAATTTGACACAGTTTTATATTTTCCTTTTGTGTTCTCGTTGATCTAAATGAGATCGAACACACTTCGGGTTTCCTGTCCTACTATTTGATTAATATTCCGATCACGATGGTACGCGTGGTCGGTCTTGAAACTTGAAAAAAAATCTTCCGATAGGACACAACCCAAAATTCGCCGAGTACGATGACCCCCCCGTATCGTAAATCGAAATGAGTTTTACACGAATATTTATACAGTAAATAGAAGCAAAATTCGTAGAATTGTAAAACAAGATTATATCATAATGTTCTCAAAAATACTAATATCTGTGTTAATATAAAAAAAAACACATAAAAATTTTAATAATTCTAATAACATTCTTACAAAATATCAAGCAATCTCAATTAAATAAATATTTCATTAATATCTATTGTACATATTATAAAATTACTATCAAAAAACACGATAGAGTGTCACAATTTTCGTCAAATTTTCGTCGAATTAATTTATTAAAAAAAATCGCAAAGGATTATTCGTTAACACAATTATTCGTCGTTTCATTCTATTTTATTTTAAAAATAAAATTTATAATTCAATATCATTGTATAATAAAATGACGAGATAATCTCTCTCTCTCGGTAATTATTATATATAAATTTACTTTAATTACATGTCACGTGGGGAACATTAATACGTGTATTGAAAGAAAATATTGAATTTTAATTATGGTATATAATAAGAAATAGAAAAGATTTGAACAATATTACGCGTGGATTGAGAATTTTTAAAAGGAAAAAAAAAAAAGAAAAAAAAGAAGGAAAGAAAAAACACAAAAAAAAAAGGAGAATGAATCAAATCATTCGGATACCTTTATCAGAAGACTATAGTCATTTACATAGAGTAGGTATAATGACGTTCGTTTGACGTAACTTCCTACGGGAGGATCGGAGACCTCTTAATATTAATATTATGTCAGTCATACTCACTCAAACGTCTGGAGTATGACTGGTCAGAGGCGACGATAATTCTTGAGGACGATCAAAAGTCCGTAAGAGTCCAATGGCGGTGGCCGTGGACATCGTGTCCTGAATCCTAAACGGATTCAGGCAGATCCGCCTTGACGTGTCAGTGTCCCTTCTTCTTCTTCTTTTTCTTATTCTTATTTCTCTTATTCTTATTCTTATTCTTATTCTTATTCTTATTCTCTGTTTTTCCCTTCTTCAGCTTCAACCAAAGAATCGAGGAAAACTACGATCCCTTTCCACCCCCTCTATCATCAATTTCATTCCAATATTTTCTTTCTTTCTCTTTTATTTTTATTTTGTTTAAATCATATAATATATATTGTCCAATTGGTACGATCAGAATTGTCGGTATTAAAAAGATAAAAGAACATTACTATCATTTATTCGTATATAATATGTTACTCTCTCTCTCTATAATATAAAAATACTCTTGAATTTAATGATTATATCTGATAAATTAATCGTTCGTTTATTGTTAATATTAGGGCGATAGTTTTTTAATGAATATTTCATTCTAATATAATAATAATTTTATATTAACTTCAACAAATTGTATTATTTGAAAAGAAAATACAACTAAACTCGAGAACTTTTGGGGTTCACCCTAATATCAAAAACGCGACGATTAAAATATATCTCTAAATTTAGATATTTGGAAAAGAAAGAGAATATTTTTCTTTTTTCGGGGGGTGGGGGGGGGGGGAGGGGGGGAGTAGGGAAGGGGGTTAGAAAGAAATTAATAAGAATAAAAATTCCGTATACGTAATTTCTCGCGAAACTGCGAATATGTGAACGAAAAAAAGTTTATAAGCAAAGGGAGAAAAAGATTGTGTATAGGATGGGTTCGTTTCTTGGATTCTGCGTATTTATAGAACAATTGAAAATGTATGAACCTTTCGTTCTCCTCTATTCGTCGCCCGTCTTTAGATCCTTTTATCTTGGCTCGATCCATGAGTCAACATCTCGCACCCTCTCGCGAAGGGATTCTTGAAGAAAAGTGAAAAGAAGTATAAACCATTTACATTCGATCCGTTCCTCGATTGAATTCATTAGAAACCTTCTCACCCATGTTTATATATTCTTTTGAGAATTTAAAAAAGGAGAAAAGAATTAAAAAAAAAAAATAAAAAAACAAAAAAAAAAGAAAGAAGATACGATTGAGATTTTTTGTTTGAAAACTATCGGAGAAATAGTTAACGCTGTTATACGCAATGTTCCATTTTTCTGCACACTATCGTCCTTAGTATATTTTCATTGTTCTCGATGTCGATTAAAAAAAAAAAAAAATCACACGTTATTTAATATAATTTATCTAAATAATCGTAAAGAAATAATTTGATCTGGAAGAAAATATTGAACGATTGGGGGGGGGGGGKGTTACCATTTGTTTAATCAACAAAATTACGAAAATAATTTAGACATTAATTATAATAACGAATTTAATTAAGAAATAATGAATAAATTGCATCGTACGAATATTCGTTCTATCTTGTGTGTTAACAATAAAGAGGAAAAAAGAAAGAGAGAGAAAAAATAGAAAAAGAAAACGGGAGATGGAAAGAAAAAAGGGTTAAATGAAATCAGTTTTGGCAGACGAAAGAACGGGACTCCTGTGTCCGAGGAGAACAGTCACATTCGCGATCGGTGCACGATCTCCCGAAACCAGATTGCGATCGGTGGGGATCCCAATTAATGCATCAGATTAAGCAGTTGTCTCATCTCGAAGGAGGATCACGTAGTACCGTCGAGAAACGATGTGCGTTACGGCGATTCTCCTCTCTGCGTTGGTTGGACACCAGGAGCATCTGACGAATAACGACGGATGGCAAGTAAAATGGTGGTGAAGAGGGCTGGGCGGGGGTGGGGAGTATTAAGAGAAGACACCATCCCCCGTATCCTACGTAGACAACCAACCAACCAACCCATCCCATATGACCGTCCTGTTCGTCACAAATGGACAATGATTCCAGAGGCATGGTATAAAAGCGTATGCCACCGACTAACAATGCCATTATCGTGCAAAAGGTTCCTGCACACCAGGTAGTACACCAACTAGAATAGGTGCTCTAGTGCTTCGATAACGAGTGAAGAAAAAAAAAGAAAAGGCAAAGAGAGAGAAATAGAGAAAGAGAGAGAGTGTTTGTCGTAATATACGCGTTGTCTACTAAAATCCCTAATATTTTCAATCAATAATTTGGAATTCATCATCATCATCATCATCCAAGATGACCACTTGTTCGACGATACTTTCTTTCATTTTGTTTGCATCGATAACGATAGTTCTGGTGGAGTCCCGAGCGATACCTGCCGAGCCTGGTAAGTCTAATGATCTACGGTGACGATGGTCTTAATTTAAGATTTCAAAGTCGTGATTAGAGTTTTTATTTGTGAGTTACTTGGTATTAGAAGTTCAGAGATCTTGCATCACTTGGTCATGAAAGATTCAGACGTTTATAATCTCATTCAAATCTTCCATACTAATAGATTCCTTTGTAAGGATTAGTAGTTATCCATATAGAGAGTTTCGAACAAGTATGTTCTATTCAGTTAAAACTAACGGATCGCGTTACCAATGTTAATATTAATAGCCATTCGAATATGGGCCAAGTATTTGTATGCTTAGCTTGATTCAAATCGTACGTGCTTCCTACATATAACTGATCATCATGAACGGTTCATTTAAAAGGTAATCGAATTTATAAATAAATGACATGATTCAGAGATGGAGGCTTAATCCTTTCAGTTTCACTTATGATGGACGCCTATGGGAACCCGGTATTATTCGTAAGAGAGAAAAGGACACCGATAACACCCTATCCCCAAAGAGCAATGATGTTCACCGGATATTACAGGCCAGTACGCCGTTCCAATAACGGTGGTCAAGCAGGTGGTGTTTTTGCCCAAGGAAATGCCGTCAGTGGGGAAGCTTTTTTCGGTGGCATGCAATCACCCAATTTTAAAACTGGTCCTGAACCTATCGAGGAACCGGAAGTGTCCAGTGCCGAGGCACAAGCTGCTCCAGAACCGGAAGAACCTTTGCCTGAGAATGATCAAGAGATACCAGTACAAAATGACGATAGATATGTATCAGAGGATCAACATCACGATCAAGAGGAACATGGTATTCAAGCTAACGAACAGGTCCAAATCAAATATTTGAAATTTCTCATTTTTTACGTAATCAATAAAAGTCCCTAGAAATTTGATATATTATAATGAATTTTAATTGAATGAACTAAATGTTTTAATTTCCAAATATTGTCCCTAATATAAATGACATTACTTGTTATTTTTATAATTAACATGAAATTAATGATATATTGTACAGGAATTAAACGTTTCGAAACCCGAAATTGAAACACCTGTATCAGCTGAAGAATCAATAGCACCGTCTACCGAAACAACGTTGAGTAATCGTCCGAAAACAAGTTCCGGAAAGAAACATAAAAAAATACCAGTGGTCCCAGTGGAAGATGACGAAGAAGAGGATGAAGTAGATGACGAAGATGACGATCCCGTTGTACCCTTCATACCTTTTAAGAGCAATCGTCGTCGTCAAGGTTATCCAAACTTAAACAATTTTTTCCCAATGGTCTTTAGCTTCCCCGGTGCATCCACTCGTGCAGGAACACCTGGATCACCACCTGGAACGATCACTGCCATTGCTAACAGTTATTCCACTGGTAAGAGTGGTGTTGCCAGTTCTATAGCGACGGCATATGGTGGATCACCGAATGGGTAAACATTTTAATTTAATCAAAATTTATAATATTTAAAATCCAAAAATATTGTAAAGAAAAAACTTGATTTGTTTTTTTTTTTTTTAACTGATATCAAATGAAACATAAATATCGAATGATTAATTATTCTTTTATCTTGCTTGGTTTCAGTAAAAAACGACGTACATCACCCGCGGAAGAATAAATCTTGAAACATTTACAAGGAGGTCGATCAATCAAAAAGCACATAAAAAAAAAAATAAAGATCGTTGTCCTCGAGACTTAATTTTTAATGTTTAGGAAAGGAAAAATGGCGACACACGTTTGAATTTAATACCACCCCCCCCCCCATAGTATCTCACTGTTGTTGATTTTTGTACCCAAAAAAAAAATCAACTTTAAAGAAAGATATAAAATTGTTTATACATGCTTGATCGAGAAAAAGAATATCGTGATAATTGTTCCTAATGATCAAAAATTGCCATTCCTATCATTTTGTTTAAAACAAAATGTTGTGTTCATAAACAATAATAAGAAAATATAATATCAAACGTATCGACCATTGCAACATCCACCGAACATGAAAAGCAAAACTCAACGAAAATTATTCGTTTTGCCGATTAACCAACCAGACCACCGTCACCCCCAAAACTTATATCTGATGGAATTCGGCAAAACGCGTGATATTCATTTTGCATGTAACGTAATAATCGTCTGTAATTGTTAATCTAAGCAAACGAATTTTAATGCGTGTGTATCTTAGAAATAGAATAAGGACAAAACTTTCGTCGAATAAATCTTGTTAAACCGAAATTGTTATTTTTTTTTTTCCTTGATTTCTACATTGTCGTATGACAAAAATATTATATTATTCGTAATAAATCGAATTTATAAACCAAATTTTAATTGACTTTTATAGAAGACAATGAATGTGAACCAGTCTAACGTTGGATTTCGAAGAGAACGGTGCGTTTAACTTATACTACGTACAATTTACATTTTCTTTCGATTAAATTAACAATCATTTAAGGTATATCTAATACAATATTGCATTCGATTGATATTTTAGATTGTTTAAAATAAAATATATTTGTTTGAACATAACACTGATCAGTAATGGCTTTGATTGGAAGAATTGAATTTTCATTCAATAAAATATCAGATATAAAAATTGTTTAATATTCTAAATATATTAATAGATATGTCATTTTCAAACAAATGTATTTTGGATTATTCTTTTTTTAAATGGGTATTCGTACGATTGTGATATTGACAAAAATATATATAAATAAAAGTATCAATCAAAAGATGACCAAACAATTTTTGTGCGCGAACGTGAAAAATGATTCATTCAAATTGATACCGATAAAGAACTTTAATAGAATCAGATTAATGTTACATACGTATTTCATCATGCAAAGGCTTGAACTTTTTTTTTTCTTATTGTAAAGTTGTAAACAGAACGATTATTTCCAACAACATCTTGTAATGTACGACGTATTTTCAATAAACCAAGGAATTCATTATAATTTTTTTTCTTTTTATTTTCTGTTATCAGCAAATCATCTTGTAAGTGATCACTCTTTCCTTATATGAGATTTATCGTATTTTTATCGGTATAAATGCGCAAATTCATTTTACTTTTAACGATTTACCCAATAAATATATATGAGAAAGATGATGCAAAAAAAAAATGTTCTAAATTGAATAATATTAAAATATTTCAAATATTATCGACGACTTCTGAACTAAAGTAGACAAATTTTAGATTAATCTTATAAGGTGCACTTTTAATTCGTTTGAAACTATCATTTGAATTTTGAAATGTATCAAAAAATCACTTGAATTTTTGATTAGATAATCTTATACGGTTCAACTCAACTAGTCTACTATAAAAAAAAAAACTATTGCACATCATTTACGATAAAAGTAAGCAACAATTAGATAGATAGGAAAATCGTAGAATTATAAATTAAAAATTGAAAAAAAAGAAAGAAAAAAAGAAGCAGGAAAAATATAATACATTGGAATAAATTTATCGTGTCAATATGTCTCGAACGATTCAACTAATCAATACAAACTCGTTTTAATAGGTATGTAAATATAAATATAGTTCGTTTTCTGCATACGTAACATTATAAACGACTGTTTCCTTAAACAAGGACATTAAAAAGTATATAAGAAGAGAAAAATACAATTTTTCTATTATTTCCTATTCGTTGCTTGCAAAGTACACGTACGTTTTAATAATTCTCTGTCGTTATTAAAAATCTGTGAAACACAGTAAATCCTTCAAAATGTATAAGTTTGTCGTATTTCTTTTGGTTGTTTGCGTGGCTGCAACTTTGGCTTATCCTGCGGACGAAGTTGGAGTAAAAGAAGGTCAATTTTCTTACTTTATATTAACAATTAACTTAACACTCGATTTTAAAAATAAATCAACGCAGAAAACAATATTGATACAAATTTTTCTTGTTTATAACATATTTTAATTAAATTTGATATAACTACGATAGTCGGAAACTTTCAACCACCACCTTTCGTGGTCCAGAAGCTGTTGACAAAATTTGAAATATTTTCATTGAATAATTTTTAAAACATTTCTTTCGATTCAATATTTGTTAGAAAAATTCCGTGACTCGTTAAACGAAAACATTGAAAACGACTATTAAAATATAATGATTTCAATTTTCATTATATTAAAACAAATCGTCATGAAATAATTCGAAAAGGTTTTTCGAAGAAAAATCGATCTTTTATAGCTATACAAGTTTTTCAATTCGATAATTAAAATTCGTAATTATTAATGCACCAATCTAATATCTTGAATTTTATTTTAACTGTGAAGCAAAAATCAACGATATTACACGTATTCCGTTTAATAAATTATTTTTTTACGAAACAATAATTGATATTGATATTATTTGAATTGTTACAGACGTCAAATTGGAAAGATATGATAGAGCTGCTGAACCTGCTGAACCTGCTCAACCTGCTGGTCCTACAGCTGCCGAATTAGGACATTCACATGCTGGACATGCCCATCATGGTGGATCACATCCTCCCCCCCATCATGTCCAATAATAAATTTTGAATAAAATAAAAAATAAAATTCAATAAATAATATCTTATATCAATAATATGTAACACATTTGAAATATAACAAAATTATTGCATGTAATTCTATTTGTAAATATAAAAACAGGATATCTCTGTTATTATCAATTATTATGAATTAAATAAAAAAACCATCTCTTTTATAAAAGGGAAACACACATCAATTTTATTATTTATCTGAAATATGTCAAATAAATCTAAAAATCTATGTTGGACTGTAACGAAAAATGAAAAAATTCAGACTTAGAATTTTCGAAAAGAAAGTATTTAAAAAAATATTTGTAACTAAAATAAATAAACAAAACCGACGAGTACAGGAAATAATATAATCAAGAAATTGAATAAAATTCTATTTCGTAGATGTATTTATATAAAATGATCGGCTATTTTATTGACAAAAAATAGAATTCATCTTCAATTGAATTCATTCCTTCATCGTATTCCATTTTTATTGAAGACTCCGTAACTTTAAAAATAATATTCCATGACTGTCGAGTTCAAACTATTGTCAAAGACGCATATAATTGCATGTAAATGATGTATTTAATATTAAAAATTGACAATTTTTATGCACGCATTTATTATTGAAACGTGTTAAATCGAGTTGTGAACGATAGTAATCTCACTCGAGTGCAAAAACTTTATATATATATATATATATATCCAAAAAGGTTGGAACCAAATTTGTACTAAATAAATATTTAAAAAATAAAAAATAAAAAAGGTTCATATAAACTTATGCGCGAAAATGTATATATATAGCATGCAGATTTATAAAATATTATTAATTTTATTATCGTTTTTTATTAATCATAATTTGCATTGCAATATATAATAATCATTTTTTCGAAAGTTTCCATTGGATAATTGTATCGTTTGTCCGAAAATATTAATTTATAAGCCGGAAATAATCTAGTTACGTCACAAGACGTGATTGGTACATATTTAAATTTATTCCAATATTGTACTAAAGTATCCTTAGGTCCTTCATTAGATGTATCATTTAAAATTTGTTCAATTTTCGATAATGAATAATATCCAGGATTACTTTGTAATACATTAATAAAGTTCCCTTTTATTCTTCTTCCAAACAAACCGGGTATATTATCAATATCTTTTGCAATTTGTTTAATTATTCCCATAGATTCGGTCAAAGTCATCTTTTGATTTTCTAATTTTTGAATATTAAAAAGAAAATGTTCATAAAGTATTTCGATATTTATTAAATCTTTATTTAAATTTTCCTTCTCGAGTATTTCCTTTGCAATTCTAATCGATATATCTTTTTCATGAAATGACATAATTACCTATTTTAGAAAAATAATATTATTAATATAATAAAATAATATAAATAATAGAAAAGGATGAATAAATTCTAAAAAGAATTACCTCTCTTATAGTATTTAAATATTTTGCATAAAATAATGCTGCCTCTAACCAAGTTACCCATCTTGTAATGACCGGTTGCGGTGGAAGTGGAACGTTTGGTAATTTATCTTTATAAATTGCTATACGATGGGGTGATTGTAAAAATACTTGTTTAATTGCAGATATTAATGTGCTTACATGGAAATAATGAAATCGTACTTCCTCTAACGATTTATTTATACCATTTAACAGACACGTTAGATGTAACATTTTTGGATAATATATTTTTAATTTTTTTCCAGCCTTTAACATGTACGAATTTGCATTCGTAATTAAAAACAAAACTCTTTCATTATAATTATTTTCACCGTTTGACCATAACATTCGTATCGACGAATCAACAAATTTAGCAATAGTAACATGATTTGTTTTTTCCAATTTTTTACAAGCAAGCAAGTGTGGCTCCGATGATTCTTTTTCGCACATTTTTCCAACAACCAAATTAATAATAAAACGACCATCGCTGTCTGTAGTTTCATTTATGGAAATCCAAATATTATATTCATCGATATCTTTTCGAATGTTTCGAATGCATGATAGATAAAGATTTTGCAAATAATTGTTTTTTACTAAAGTGATCTCGTTTGGTACATTTCGGTCGGTATATTTTTCCAAAAAATTTCTCCAAGTTAGGTTACTTAAACATCGCCATGGGATTTTTGCGGCCACCATAGCTTCATACATATCGTTATAAAATTGATTTATATTCGTAACTCGATCATTTCCATTTGTTGCCGAATTATTTTTCAATCCCGTATTTTGTTTATGTATAGTAGTATTTGTATGCTGCGTTAACTGTGATTTTTTATGACAATTAATCTGCTTATTGCACGCTTGACAATTAACGATATCACCTTCGATAATAAAATGTTTATCGTTTATTTCATTCATCCATTTGTTTAATGCAATTCGCTTAACTCTCTTTTCTTTAGGCATTGTGAATGAATGAATTAATGCTATCAATTATTAGTATTTCGAAAAAGAATTAAAAGATAAACCCGAATTACAATTATTATATAAACAGATCATGTGACGACAGTTATATGAAAGTATCATGAATTATAATTCATAAATCGTAATACGAGTTAAATCGAATTTTGCAAATAGAACTGGTAACTTTAAAAAAATATGTATAATACACAAAACATATATATGTAACATGTTCAACAATTACATTTTTTTTATATAAAATATGGAAAATTTATATGTTATATATAAAAAAAATATGCATTTGCATAAATATTCACAATCTAAACTAATAACGCACTAAGTGCAAGTCACACTATCACATTACACTGTAGCAACATCTATCCTGTTATGAGTTGATATCTTATTGCAACGTAATAATATTGCATTGACGTAATCTTTCGGTAAAACGATAAAACGGATTGCAAATAGCATCGTCGATAAAAACGATTTATACATTTACAAGATTCGTATTTATTTACCTAGACGACGCACATCTGCACAAAGCGGAATATTATTTAAATAATATTTTTACGTTTTTTAATCAAATTCTTTAGAATATTTTTGCTACTTGCATAAAAATTTCATTGCTTTGCTTAGAAATGAGAAAAAAACGTTTGCGATTTTTCAATTATTAATAACTAATTAAATAATTAATTAATAAAGTGAGCAATTATACTGATTTGGATTGTGAAATTAGTGAACAATTAAGAATACTTATTCATTTTTTCTGATGTTGCGGTTCTGTGCCAACTTTTTTGTGCTCGTATTGTTTCGATAGAACGATGAAACATATTGCAAATAGCATAGTCGATAAAAAAGATTTATACCTTTACAAGATTCGTATCTATTTACCTAGATGACGCACATCTGCACAAAGCGGGATATTATTTAAATAATATTTTTGAGGTTTTTTTTTTCAACAAAATTCTTTAGAATATTTTTACTTTTTACATTTTTTTTTCATTTTAATTCTACCGAATGAAACGATACGTACAAGTTTGAGAATGGAAAAGACAATGGAATATCGATTTCATTAAAAGAGTAACCATATTTTGTGATACTTTGTCCGCGAAAGCATGTTTAAATCTAATAAATATAAGGGATGATTTAAAAATTAATCCAAAACTCCAAAATCTTACTAAAATAAAGCTTTGAAAAGAGAATATGATTATTTTTATGAATAAATTACTCGCCAAAAAGAACAATATTTAATTAAATTATTTTTAACTTTTTAAACTTGAAGATTAAGATTATGTGAACATTTTTCCTTGTTCCAAGTTTTTGATTTCTTTTGTTTTTCCCAAGTGTAAAGCCATAAAACAGACAATCATTTCCAAGAACATCATGACATATGTTGACATATGTGAACATATGACGTATTTTTTAATACATCAAAGCATTAATTATTTATATCCTTTTATCAGGATAAAATCTTGACAATGAACACAATTTCCTTGTACAGGATTATAATGTGTCTTCCATTTTTTATTTGCGCAAAAGCTACTCAATATTATTCTATTCAATAAACATAGATATGAATATTTAAAATAATAAAAATATATTATTAATTTTGTTGTTGTTTAAAATTTTCTAAATCCAAACAGACAAATGTTTCATTTTAAATTCCTATAACGTGAACTTTTTATACCTTAGGAACTAACACTTTTACTTTGAATAATATTTATAATAAAATCGATACCATATTTTGTGCAATCTTCAATTGTAATATAAAATGTCTACGTAGTTAATCTAATCTATTGTTATAGATGAAAAAAATAGTTTATCCACGAGCAAGAAAACAGATATGCAACACATTATACATTTCAAATAAATACATTTTTATACAGGTGTTATACTAACGATGAATTCGAACATACATTATTTAAATATTTGTCTTTTCGTAATTATTAAAAATCCATATATTTATAATTTATCAATTAACATGTGAATTTTTATTCGATAGTATATATTTATACGATTTAACTGAATTAATTTAAAGAAAAAAAAAAAAAAGAGAAAAAAGAAAGATACTTATGTGGATCAATTACTGTAACACAAATGATATTTAAATAAAGAGGAAAAATGATGGAATGAAAATTAAATAATTGATGAAGAAAAATGAAGGAGGATAAGAAAAATTAACACAACCAGAATTGATTTGTTAATGTTAATCAGACTCGAAAGATTCGACTGATGGATAGATACTCGTTTGGTAGGTATGTTAATAAATAAGTGGTTCTATTTTTGTTAACTAAGATTACTTGGAAACGTTTGGCGCCTATCATCTAAGACGGATCTTCAATGGAATATATATAAGGCAAGAAAAATTGATTTTCTACATCATTTTGTACTCATCTTTTGCAAAGTATACGTACGATTTAAATAAACGTTTGTTATTAAAAATCTGTGAAACAGTAAATCCTTCAAAATGTATAAGTTTGTCGTATTTCTTTTGGTTGTTTGCGTGGCTTCAACTTTGGCTTATCCTGCAGACGAAGTTGGAGTAAAAGAAGGTCAATTTTTCTTACTTTATATTAACAATTAACTTAACACTCGATTTTAAAAATAAATCAACGCAGGAAACAATATTGATACAAATTTTTCTTGTTTATAACATATTTTAATTAAATTTGATATAACCACGATAGTAGGAAACTTTCAACCACCACCTTTCGTGGTTCAGAAGCTGTTGACAAAATTTGAAATATTTTCATTGAATAATTTTTAAAACATTTCTTTCGATTCAATATTTGTTAGAAAAATCCCGAGACTCGTTAAACGAAAATATTGAAAACGACTATTAAGATATAATGATTTCAATTTTCATTATATTAAAACAAATCGTCATGAAATAATTCCAAAAGATTTTTCGAAGAAAAAATCGATCTTTTATAGCTATACAAGTTTTTCAATTCGATAATTAAATTTCGTAATTATTAATGTACCAATCTATAGATTATCTTTTTACGAAACAGTAATTGATGTTGATATTATTTGAATTGGTACAGACGTTATGTTGGAAAGGGTCAATAGGGCTGCTGATCCTCATGGACATTGGCATGGAAACCATCATTGGCATGGAAACCATTATTGGCATAGAAACCGTCATTGGCATCACGGCAGACATGGAAAATAAACTTAAAATGTTCTGCTATATGTTTAACAATTTACATAATAATATGTTTATTATATAATTTTATTAATAATAAATATTTTCTTGAAAAAATACGAAAAGACATTTGGCAATTGATTAATAGAAAAAGGAAGAAAAAAAAAAATTACAACTTATTCATTATAATTCGTGTAACATTAAATGAGAAAGACAAATTTTATTTGTATCTTTGAATTTTAATTACTAATAGTTTATAATAATATATTGCACTTGTTATAATTCATTGTTATCGATAAAATAAAATGTAATATCTCTTGCATACGTGAATTATACTATTTATTTTATTTATATGAAATTGCATTTGAAATAAATCGTGAATATCTTGAAATATTTATTTTTAATATACGTCACACTACTTGTTAGAAAATTGTTTGCATTTGTAAGACAATGGAAAAAAAACGAAAAGGAAACGTTTAACAATAGGAAACTATAACAGTAACAGTCTTTGTTTTGCGTTTATCCAATTTCCGATTGTCATTAAATGCTCTTATAAACATGATACGTGGTATATGATCTTATTTCATATACACATTACGATGATAAAAGAACTTCCCTTAATAGAATTGCATTATTAACGAAGAAATCTTCTTACTCGTCGTACGTAATTTTCAAGAAGAAAGAAAGAAAGAAAGAAAGAAGAAAAAGAAAAAGAAAAAAAAAAAGAATAAAATAAGTGACAAATATTACGAAAAAAATGAAATATCAATTGATATTATTATTCGCTTTTTTAACAAGCGTAAGTTGTGTGTTCATCTTATATAATTTGTATTTTATAATTAATCATTTTTTGATTTAATTTATATATATATTTTTTTTTCTTTCTCAGATACAATGTCGTTCGATAATACTCGATGAAACGTGTAAGTGAATAAATTATACAATTTTTTTTTGTTTATTTCTAATTATTTTCTCAGAATATAAAATTTAAATTGTTTTCTTCTTTTTCTTTCTTTTGTAAATGATTTCATTTAAAATAATATCCATAAAAAATTGTGGATATTTCAAATATATATATATATATATCAAAAAGTGCATTTTAATTAATTTTATTAGCTAAAGATGTTAACGACAAACCAAAGAAAACGGAAATATCGTTTTTCGATGAAATAAAAGATATAATGGAACAATTTATTCAAAAAAATGTTGTCGAGTCTACGACGAATTTACCTTGGTTTACTTTACTGTTCAATTATCCAGAGGTAAGAAATTCATTTCACTAATTATTGGGTTGGCAACTAAACGAGGGTATTTATTTGAACAAAAACTTACCGAAAAATAAACACCCTTGCTTAGTTGAAAATTGATAGATTAGCACATTTTAATATCAGTTAAAAATTTAAACAACAATATTTATTTTCTCAATGTTTTTCATTCTTTATTGTGTGATTTGTTTTCGTTTCGTTTCGTTTACCGAAAAAAACATACCCTCCCGAATCTTTCTCACTTTCATTTCTACTTTTAAAGAGGAAGGATCACTTAGTTGCCAACCCAATAAAACTATTTTTTCGAAATAAGGTATACAATTCTATTCAGATCCGTGTGGAAGTATTATTATTATTTAAATATTAAATGTAACAATTAATTCGTATATATATTTTTGTTCGTCAAGAAATTCGACAGTTGTTTGATAAATAAATCAAAGTTATTGAAAATTAATGGAAACAATTTTCTAGGAAATATTTGTTAATTTATAAAAATATGATTTTATATTTGTGGATTCTTTCTTTTATATTCCCTTTTATAAAATAATTATAAAATAATTTTGTTCGATTTTATTGCGTAAATACAGGAATTTTCGGATCAAACTATCTGGCAATTACCTCGGGGATATTTTAAAAGAAGCGAAAATTCCGATTCTGATTTAATTAAACAACAAGATAATAAGGAAACTTGGAACAACGAAAAATTATCTATCGAAGATAAGACTAAAATGATTAAAACTTGTGCCGAACAAATCGATGAAATGTTGCTTTTCATACAAAATGCTCTTGGCCAATTTCGAAAATATTTGAACGAGTGGTGCAGGTTAGTTTAATTCAAAATTATAATGAATATGAATTTTAATATGAATATTATTATTTAATAATACTTTCTCTCTTATTTTTTAATTGAAATTTATATTACTTTAGGAATCATCATTTGATGGTCAAAATATCACCAGAATCATCCGATACGATTAATATTGCTCCTAAAAATATTGATTGAAATTTAATTAACAAATCAATTTTAAGAAAAAAAATCTTTATTCATCTTTACACATTGTTAAAAAAAAAATTGTAATCTGAAATCTTATATAGTATTAATCATATTCATTTAAATTTTACATTTTATAACATCTAATACGCGTATTTAATTGTGTTAACACACGAAAATTATTATTATAAAGAAAAATAAAGAAAAATTTAAATATATTAATTTTGTTTTAAAAAAAAATGAGATACATTTATTCTTCTTTACGATAATATAATAATAAAAATAACGAAAAGAAGTCATTGAACTATCTCTCGTTGGTAACAGACTAAGAAATATACTACAAATACTTTCGATAGTATTATTTAACACGTTTGATCGATAAAGCAAATAGTCGCTGTTAACAACGATGCATTGTCTTCGTAAGTGTTCACTTGCGAGCTGATTTTTTTCATAAAATATTCGGTAAGTTTTTTTATTATAATAAAGAAATAAAATATTTAAATATAAAATAAATTATCGAAATATTATTATAAGCGAAATAATCGATTTGTGTGAAATATCATTGGAAAATTGCAAAGGCTTTTAAAATTTGTACTCTTTTTTTTCTTTTCGTGTATATTTTCACGAGATTCCATCTTTGCAGCACACGTATATATCTAATCATTTATTTATTAAATATCATATTTTTGATTTATATACTTCTCATCGCGTTTTATAACTTCGAACTCTATTTTTTATGATTCATGTTTAACAACGGAATAAATAAGTTTGAAAACGTATTAACGTTTTAGAACATACCTCTATAGCACATTTAACTATTACCCATTAATAGTGAAAAGTTTGAAAAGTTAAATTAGAACGCTAAAATGGAAATACCGATGATTATCTCGATTCGATTCTATCGATTTTCGCATACCGAGAATCCTAATTTTCAACACTTCGAATTTACTCATGTCCGGTTTTAAATCTTACATTTTAATTATCTTCAAGTAAAATAAATCATATAAGCTAAATTTTCGTGATATATTAAATTCATAGGGTGGCTTAAATTAAATGTTACCAAATTTAATACACAAATATAATCCATGTAAAACATTACAAAATCTGTTAGGCAAAATTAAATGAACATAAATAAATCATAAATATTCTCTAAATATATATATATATATATATATATATATATATGTATCATATACATGCTACATTGTGTACCTGGTACGATATCATTATGAAGACAGAAATCATGCATACATTGCCACAATGATACAACCACTTAATTCGCTAAACTTTTATACAAGTTGTACGATGCGTGTGCAAGGTATACATGATTGCATTATAGAAGTTTTGATACTCTATTTCTAATAATGAGTTTCCAACATGCACTCTCATATAAATATGAATATTATTTTCTATTATATTTCTTATTAAACGAAGTTTAATAATTCTTTCGTAAAAACTTTACTTTCGATGAGAGATACGCGACGTATAAAAAAGAAAAAAAAGGAAAAAAGAAAACAATTAATCGTTCGAGCAATTATATATATATATAAAAAACTAATTGTTAGTCGAATATCTTTGCAATTTAATCGACGTTATTTGCATTATGTTTTATTGATAAATCGATTTGGAGAGGAGAAAGATAAAGAGATATAGGATGTCAATATTGTTTTCTGAAAATTACCGATTTCGATTATTTAAATCAGGGCTTCTTAAACTTTTGTCATTCACGACCCCATTTATGATTGCGAGTTTCTTGACGACCCCATTTATGATTGCGAGTTTCTTGACGACCCCATTTATGATTGCGAGTTTCTTGACGACCCCATACAAATATTACTGCTGTCGGTGGAGATAGCTCAAAACCTTCAACAAATGCACGTGTCTAGACGCTGCAAGTCCACTGTATTCCGCCAACTCTAGTGATGTTATAAAATGGTATATATAAATATTTGACATTAAAATCTCTCGCGACCCCAGAATTTTTCTACGCGACCCCGTTTGGGGTCGCGACCCATAGTTTAAAAAGCCCTTATTTAAATGTATCATAATAAATTGTCCGAGAAATAATAATTATGTTTTCTAAAGTAGATATTAAAATGCTGCGAAACTTAAATATTATTAAAAGTAATAATTATTACAGCGTGTAATATTTTCTATCTATTTGCGTGCATATTGGTATTCTCGCAGAATATACAAGGTGTTCCGTAACTACAACAGAGGTTTGATTCTATATAAAAAAAAAATTAAACAATAATTGTATAAACGTAATAATATTTAAAAATAACACACATTACATGCACGCACGCATATAGGTATTAATGAATAGATAATAATAATTAAAAATTATGCAAATATGAGTGAACATTATATTATGTAATAAACTATGTTTTTTTTCTTTTTTTTTATATATATATATATATATATATAAAAAATATATATATATATAAATTGAACTATTTTTATGTTTGGAAAAAGAAAAAGATATTAAATCCAAGGATGCAGGCAAATGAACAGCAAACGTCGAAAGTCAGCGTCGGCGCCGATTGCAACGTGCGTGTTACAACGACTCTCATGAAAAGCGTTTCCTTGTTCCTCACGAGTGCTTGGAGGGTTTCGGTGAACGAAAAGAGACCGTCCTCGGTTAAAACAACGAAACAAGAATTGCGACGACCGCGTAAGAAAAAAATGCCGGAAAGTGGGAATCCAAGAAATTCTGCTTACATTATCAAAGTCATCGAATCTTTAAAGAAAAAGACTAAATTTAGCAGGTTCGATGAAATAATCATTTTTTTTTTAATAATCACTATTTTTATCATTGATTCACAATCGAGAATGAATATCTTACAAAATAATATGATAAAAGATAATGCAATAAAAAATATTACATTATTCTACAAATTCTTCAAACATAGATCATTCTCAATTATAATTTGAGTATTTAATGATTTTCAAAAACTCTTTTTCGTGTTACAGAACAGAATTAGATAAACTCTGTAAACTTTATAAGAATTTAATGAAAGAAGCTGGTCAGCAACAAGTGAGTCCATCGATGGGCATTTACAGAAGACCAAGACCAATCCACAGTATCGAAGTAAATTAATATAATCTTCAAATTATTTCATATTTTTGGAAATTTTTTAATCAGTTAGCTGTAATTGACTAGTATACTCGTCATATAGAAAAAGCAGTAACCATTTGCTATGTAAATTGCAATCTTTTGTTCAAACTAAAATATATTCGTAAATTTGAAGACCAATCGTTACAGCTAACTGATAAAATTATATTTATTACTTTTTCTAACATGATATTTTTTATATTAGAAACTTATACTTGTGTTAGGGAATCGATAGATCAATCTTTCGCAATCTTCTTCACAATACTTTCAAAGTAATAACAGAGGATATGTTGGTGGAACGATTATTTTGTTGTTGGGATCGTGAAAGTGAAAGTGCTATTAGATTAGAATCATGGATCATGGGTCTCGATGTTTTTCTCCGTGGCAACCTACAGGATAAAATCGATTTCTGCTTTCGTGTATACGATTTAAACAATGACGGTTTTATTACGAAAGATGAGATCTTTCAATTATTTAAGTAAGTTTGTTTGAAAGTAATCGAGAGCTATTAGAAATAATTTTTTTTTCTTATTTCTAGTTATAAAATACATTCCCCAATTTAGCTGGTAAACCTCGGAATATATTGTATAACTATAATTATATTACTATTTTTCTTTTTACTAAATTAAAATCATATATAGTAGGAGGAATATATTTGACTTCCTCAATTGATACTGTTTTTTTAAGAAATTGTTTGATAAAGCAACCAGGAGAAGAAGATCCGGACGAAGGTATACGAGATTTATCAGAATTAGCATTGAAAAAACTGGACGTCGATCGCGATGGAAAAATATCATTTGAAGATTACGAAATGGCTGTTAAAAAAGAACCATTGCTTTTGGAAGCTTTCGGACAGTGTTTGCCTACAGAAGAAAATTGTACAGCGTTTATAAAATCGTTACAACATTAAAACCGCTATTTTGATTCCATCGAGATTCAAAATATTACAAAGATGTAGGAATTTCATTCGTAATATTAAATAATATAGAATAACATAGTAGGAAATGTGTTATAGAAAAAGAACAGTAAAAATATACATTTTATAACATAAGAGAAACTTTATACTAGAAGCAAGAAATTTACATTAAAAATCTATTGCAGTCCTGTTTGAAGATACATCTTTACTTTTAGCATTTTCACTCATATTTGCATTCAATATATGTTTAACTTTATTAGATTTACCAATTCCTAATTTAGGAAGTCCCCTATTCAAACCCTCTAATAATATACATGCCTTACATATTTCTTGACTTGAAACAAATCCACAAATATTACAGTTTCTTTGCTCTTGATTTTTCACATTGCTCTTTACTTGCATACGTTCACCTAAAATTAGTATTTAATGATTTATTAATTATAGATATAAAAGAAAAAAAGAGAAAAAAGAAAAAGTGAATAGTTATGATGAAATAACTATTTTAAAGATACATACCAGAATGAATGATATCTATGATAGACGTTGGCCTCACTTTCTCCAAATCTTTTAAAAACGTTCGAGCATGTCCTCGATAAGCGTTAGGAGCATATATGCATTCGGTAGAAAAGTAAACTAATTTTTGAAAATGTGCATACATAACAATCTCCTTTTCATAAGCATATTTTAATGGTTTGCATCTAAAAATAGTATCTCCTCCCGACTATAATAAAAAGTAAAAAATTAAGTTAACTTAAGTAAGTTGAAGTGAACCAAACTTAGCATAACTTGTATCATCTTACATTACACGTTAATTAGGTTAATAAAAATTAGAAATTATCTAACCGTTATTATAGCTGTACATCTTTTCAATCTAGCAATGTCACCACGTAAGATATTCATTAAAACTGTCTCAGCTATATCATCCGCATTATGACCTGTTGCAATACAATCTACACCTAATAAAGCTCCTCCTCTATCTAATGCCTGTCTACGAAATACACCGCAGAAAGTACAATTATTTTTTCTTCCAATCTGTAATTGATTTTAAACAAACAAGATATGTTAATATTTAATTTACTACTACAAATGATAAATGTTTGCCTTACTTGTTTTACTATATCGTCCATTGTCCATCCATATATATCTTTGTAAGACAATATTTTTAATGGTATATTGTAATCATTTTTATTTTTCTCCACAGTTTCCAAACTATCATCTCGGTATCCTATAAATATATTAAATCAATGAATATATTAAATCATAGCAAATATATTTGTGTTTTATATACAACATTTCATCAATTTACCAGTAATTCCTTCATCAATCGATAAGAGAAATAATTTGAGTCCATAATTATAGCGTTCATTCAAAGTTTTCAACACGTATGCTAATACTGTCGAATCTTTTCCACCTGATGCTCCTATAGCTACTTTATGTCCAGGTTTAAATAATTTTCCTTTTACAATGGTGTCATGTATTTCAGTTTCAAAGGCGTAGATAAAACATTCTTTGCATAATGTATCAGCGGTCTTAGGTCTCTGATAAAAGTATTTAATTTTAAAATTGAAACTAACTATTATCGCATAACTGAATCGCATAAACCTCTGCTCTCTTATATCACAGATTATAGAACATCGTATATATCATGAAAAGAGTATATACTTACTTTAAGAATAGCATTCTTGCCACAATTTCTAGTACATTTTACAGGCATTTTAAAAAAATTGCGTTATTTAAATGTTATATATTGCTTGATATGTAAAATATTTCTATATACAAAAAATTGCTTTTGTAAATAATCGTATTAAATATATTTAATTAATAGTATTTATTTAAAAAGGTTAAATGTGTAATGTACGTATTATTACTTAAAAACGTATTATTGAAATCTTAAGTATGATCTTATTATCAAAATCCTAAAACAAAAAAGAACATGGTATAATAATTGTATCAATCATCATAAAAATAAGGAAAATGAATCTTCTTAATTAATTAATTTGTTAATAATATTAAAAAATAATATTTCAATATGATAAATTGTATTTATATTATACTATTATTAATATATTTTAGCAAATATAGAAATAATGATTTCTTACGGTTAATCTTCTGGCTTTTCTGGAGGAGGACCACAAGGTTGTAGCATTTTCTCCATAAGATTAAATCGTACACGTGCCTTCGTTTCGTTTTCAGCGATTGCAAAGAAATTTAATAAATCGTAATGTCCCATATACGAACTACAGGAATCCCGATGTTGATTCACAAGCCACTCGAATTTAGTTGTATCTGCGTGTCCAGTTCCAATATATTTAGATTGCAAATGTTCTAACTGGCTATGTATATTATAACGTTCACCCATACTTTATATTTTACTTCTCTATTTTTTTTTAAGGATACAACAAAATTCTATTAATTATATTCTTTTTTTAAATAACTTCAAAATTATTTCTTACAATGTTTTATTTATTTGTTCACATTCCATATATATGTAAGTCAAAGATGACCTTACTAGCATTATTTTTCATCAGTGTTATCAACCCTACCAAACTAAATATTACTTATACGAAAGTACCAATATTGAGTAAACAAAATTTTCTAGCATATGAATGTAGTTTAGTGAAACTAATGCACATGCGCGTTATGACGACATAGAAAAAGACAGACTATATAAAACGGGGACACATGAGAGTAACATGCTGAGATATAGGAATATAACCTTCAAAAACTATTATTTAAAATTAATAAATAATAGGGCTTATTAATATGAGATGATAGAACGAATATATTGTAATTGTTAATTAATTATTATTATTTTATTTTAATTGTTATTATTATGATTATTATTATTATTATTACATAAAATGGAGTACTTCACCGAAACATCTAATAATATTAATAAGCCAAAATTAACAAAACTTGGAATTAGTCTTATAGCAATAACAGGTATGCAATTAATATTTCATTTTACACGAATGTATTTTATTCCAATTTAATAATAGCCTTTTATATAATTATTTGTTATTAGGAGGATTAGCAACAGCTATTAGCGTAGTATGCATACCCTTTGTAAGTCCTGCATTCCGTAAGATCTGTTTACCCTATGTACCAGCGACAAATCAACAAGTACTAAACGTTTTACAAGCTTTAAAAGGACGTTCAGGTTCGTTGATTGATCTTGGTAGTGGAGATGGACGCATTGTAAGTTATAAAATGTTAATTAAATATGGAAGAATAAAGGGGTAATTTTTAACGAAGAAAATCTTTGCTTTACGAATAGGTTTTAGCAGCAGCAAAAGCTGGTTTCAAATCGTATGGCATAGAATTAAATCCATGGCTTGTATGGTATTCTAGATTAATGGCTTTTAAAAATGGTTTAAGATCTCAGACTTGTTTCTTTAGAGAAAATTTGTGGAAATGTGATTTACAAAATTACAATAATGTTATTTTATTTGGGGTAGAACAAATGGTATTTATTTTCATTTAATTTTATTGTTTTTACTTCCATATATTTATATACGATAATAAAATCGCTCTTACAGATGGGAGATATCGAAGAAAAATTTAATACAGAATTGCAAAAAGATTCTGTGATAATAGCATGTAGATTTCCTCTTCCCAATATGAATCCAATTGCAACCATTGGCGAAGGTGTTGATACTGTTTGGTTGTATAAGAAAAGATAAAAATGCTAATTTATGGATTAAATAGGTAATACTATTTACTTTTCATTATTAAACAAATTATATTTGTTTATCTAATTATTGGACGTATATTGATTATTATTTTATTAAATATTTACAGTTACAAAAAGTACAAAATAAAATATAAACGTGTATATTGGAGAAATTATCCCCAATTATTGCTAAATCACAGTAATAAAATATAGTAATAATAATAATAATAAAAGTATAAGATATTAAAATATTTTTATTAAAATTTAATAATTTTCGTCGTACAAAATTAAATATAAATTGTTAAAAATTAATTTATCTAAATATTGCATCAAATATCAATGATCGATTATAAAAAATTGAGCTATAAGATTTAATATACCAATAATTGGTATTATTAAATGTATGATTGTTGTAACTGTAGTTAATTTTCTTTGCTTTCGTAAAACAGATAAATGAAGTAAACTCGGTAAAGTAAATACATAAATTAGACCGCTTAAAGCACCTGTATATCTTATGACAGTTCCAATATACGGTAAAAATGTAGCAAATAATATAGAAATCAAAACTAAAATAAAATTGGTTATCAAAGTAGTGTAAATAGTAGATTTCTCACATATTGATGAAATCAATTGAATTCTTAGCATATATGTGAGTAATGGATAAACTGTAAATAATTGAAATAATAATACTATACGAGCAATTACTGTTAAAGGATCCCATTTTTGAAAATTATTTAATAAGTTCTGTAAAAAGAAAAAAGTATATATCTATGTAAATTCGATAATTAAAAATTTTTAATTATTTTTAATAATATAATTATGTACTTACGTCTTGAATGCACGATTTAGCAAGAGGAAAACATACGAAAAATATTACACCTACTATAATGTAGGTTGTTGTAACAAGACCATATGCTATTGTCAAGTCTCTTCCCTATTATTTGAAAAAAATATTTGATAAATGTTTTTTAATTTATACGCAAATATGAATTATAAACAAAATTTACTTACATTTTTGGATTGATCACGATTACTTTGCATTATAGTAATTATAATGTTATGAATGAAAAATGATAGTGCTAGCATACCAGACAATGCTGGAAATGTAGGCTTCAATACCCAGCTACCTTCCCACATTGATCTATCCATATGCAAACCCCATGATGCAGATTTTATTAAAACAAATATAATTATATATACTATCGATACAGTCCCTGAAAAAATAAAATACATTTATACAAATTGAATTATTTAGAAATTATATTTAAATGAAAATATCATTTATTTAAAAAGTAATATTATTGATTTACCAAGAGAATTGAATTTTGTGAAAAATGTAGTGCTATTGAAGTTGAGTAATGGAAATATTATTATTGCTAAGAATGCAGGTACTGTTTTATGTAAATCCCATGACGGACCTAAAGCATCAAATGTGCGTTCTTGAACCGTTATTATATCACTGCCATTATACATTTCTTTTCTTGTACACAAAACTGTAAATAAGATGAATCATTTTTTATTGTTAAACAAAAATATAATAAATTATGATTAATTGACATTAATAATTCTTATAAATATGAATAATTATAAAATGTAAAGAGAAACGCAAATATTAAATGAACGAATGAGATAAACGTATGTTTAAGCAGAGCGTAATGGAGTTAACATTTTCTGAACACAAATCATAAATTTGACATACAGATAGATACGATTATTTTTAAATGTGATACAAAATTACATTGAAATGTTTTGTTCTGATTCTTTTTACGTTATCAAAACTATCTTGAAAAAGAAATAAACTTCATTTTAATTCGAAATAAATATGTACCTTCGAAACTATTTGTGTTGTTTTCAATTATAGAATATGTAGGCAGTCCCATGACATTATCTAAAATGTAAGTTAGAGTTCGTTATAATTATCTTTTCGATACTAAATGAAATAAATCTTTATAATGTCTTATAATCTTACCATAAAAAAAATTAATTGAATTATATAAAAAATTAGACATTAATATCCAATAAGCTATCGTTGCGCCAAACAAAACTGAAATACTAAAGATTCTCGCTATGTATTCTACCCATTTGTTGAGAAATATTCTACTCAATTGTACAACTTCAACTTTCTCTTGTGAACCTTAAAAAAATGTAACCATTAGATTATCGTCATGATAAAAAATATTGTTTTTACTTTTGTTATTGGCTCACCATGGTATTTGTGTACAACTATTAAACGATGAGCAGTATAAAGACACAAACCACCCATTGCTAATACAAGGATAATTCCAGGAAAAAAACCTGCCATTTGAATACCCCATGGCATAGTAAGCAAAGACGAACCTAATATTGTATTCCATATCGAGAAACTAAAAATAAATATGAAGAGATGATTATTATACAAGATTATAATACTAAAGACTTGAAGTTCTTTTTTGCATCCTTGGACTTTGGATTGAACTTTAATAAACAAGGATATTCTGGAGAAACACAAAAGTGTATTCTCTCTATATTGGTGAGATATTAATTTTAATATATCGCTAATTAAAGTCAAACAGAGATGTCTGATAATTATTGAGTTAAGTTATAAATAAGACTTTCCTGAGTGAAATTTATTATAGTAGATTTTATATATATTCTGACATACATTTATTTTTAGTAATCATTAATAAGATTTCATTGAAATTGAAACTTATTTATGACTTAACTTAATCTTACAAATATTAAATATAAATTATGGAAATAAGAGAAAAATTATAGTTTAGCATCAAATTTATTATTATCGTAATATCATTGTCTCATTCATCTTAAATTTGTATTTAAAAAATTGGTTTTAATTATAAAGGAAAATATTTTTTAAATAATGATTATTATCGGATTAATTTTAAATATATAAAATAGAATCATTCTTTTTCTACTTGCGACAACAAAAAATATATAAATCAATACTTCGAAAATTCTTCCTCGATAAGATACGATTGATTACATTAAGATATTCTAAAAAAATTCTAAAAATACATTCAAAAATAATCTCTCCTTAATTAATTCAAATATTTTATTCAATTAAAATAGATTATCTTATTGAATTTTTCGAAAAATATTATTTAACGTTATTAAAAAAAAAAAAAAAAGAAAGAAAAGAAAACATTATAAAAGTATGATTCGAATATAAAATGTTGAATCGAGCTCCCAAATATTAGATCGTGCTGAAAGTTTCTTGCTTTTTCTTTTTTAGCAAGTTTAAGATGTAGATTATTTTTTATTTAATATTATATCAATGAATAACATATGAGATTTTGTAGTTTATTAATTGTTTCTATACTATCTATATATTATTCAGTAAAATAACGTAAAATAAAAAATATTGTGCATGTAAAGTTAGAAAAAAAGGAAAAAGAAAAAGAAAGAAAGAACATTTGGAGAAGATCTAATACAAAAATGCATATAGTGGAAATGCCCAGCAGAGAAAATTCGACGGTGCTACGGGCGTTGACCTGTCTACAGGAAGAGGGAGGTGAGGTTAGGTAAGGTTAGGTGAAAGGGTGGAAAGGGGTAAGGGGAGAAGAGAAGTTCGTCTGTCGCCCGGGCAACAGACGGTCACAGACAGAGCACTAACCCTTTCGATACGATGTTGAACACAAGTAGAACGTTTGCTGCATGCAAACCGGTCGGACACCGGCTGCTGGTTTAACCAGCCGGGGGAAGATAGGAAAACCGTTTTTATTGTCACCTTTGTCAAAAAGATTGTTCAAGTTTTAGCGAGCGTTTAGTACAAGTTAGAAATAACGTTACTTTTCTTCTCGTATTAATGGCATCGTTTTAATTAAAATTCGTAATTAATTATTACGAATTAAATTCGTTGTTCTCATAATCGTCGTCGTTATTATCGTTGTCGTTCTCGTTGTCATTGTCGCGTTGTCGTTGTCATAGTCATTTTTATAGTACATTAGAATATTTTTCTCATCGATCAGGTTAATGTGTGTTGGGCGTGGATGAAAGATTCATCATAAAAAACGCGTTAACGACGATAATCTGCACAGGGGGGTCGACGACCGTAATTCGTTTAAAGTCCTTCAGACAATGACCATGATACGGTAAGTTCAAATTCTAATTAGACAATGTTGGATAATTATATATATATATATATATATATAATAAAAGTAGTATTCTGTTAGTTTAAAAAACTATGACCTTTTAATCGTTACACATTTCTTCCCAATATTATTTTCTTTAAAAAAAGAGATAGATATATAAATGTACAGATAACAATTGCTTACAATTTATAAAGAATTTATTTGATTAGTTAGCAATGACACGTTTTACGATGACCCAATTGAGATAATATTTTTAGGGTAAAACGATATTTTATTTGTCAATTATACGGCTAACGCACAATGAGAGATAACCTCTTATGATTAGATGAAATCATCGAATGCACGCGTGATTATCTCTAGTTTTTGCTGGATAATTTATACAGTATTTTTTTTTTTAACTTTTTTTTTTATACACATGATATACATATGTACATTTCCCTGACGACATATCTTTACGTCATATGATAAGGAGGGAAAATTCAATTTAAAATATACAAAATAGCAGATGGTGACGAATTGTTATTTCAAATTTCGCAATTATTCGAAATAAATAAAAAAAAAAAAAAGAAAAAAAAAGAAATGCACATCATTCGATAACTTCTTTGAACTTCGAACTACGAAGAGCGAGTCTTTAAACAAATGATGAATTTAAAAATAATTTCATACTATATAATATTAATTTATATTTTTAAAGCCATAATTATCATCAATCACAATCTATATTTTCTCATTTTATTTCTTCATTTCAAATATAGGGAGTTATTATTAAGCAACATGATATGCTTATCAATGTTAAAAAGAAAAAAGAAATATAAAGTATTTTCTGATGCAAATTCTATTTAAAATGTATCATTTCATTTTTATTCTTTTCTTTACGAAACACGTAGATACTCATGTATCTCACAATATGTTTTTACATGGAAGTAAAAATACTATCTCTTTCACTTATCTATGAATACTTTAACATTAAATTAAATACTTACATTGTGACTAGAGAACTTTGTTTCGGCTTAATATCTTTGTTTAAAATCTCTGTATCTTCTTGTCTTATTGTCAAATCAGTTGATAAATATTCTTTAATATATTCCTTTGTCAATGGTTGCTTGTTACTTTCTTCATACTTCTTATTTCTTGTCTAACATAACATAGTTATAATAATAATAAGTAAGAACGTTACGATCATACATGTATTTATTAATTTCCTAATATTCTGATAATTTCACCAAATCATAGTCGTGTACTCCGTAATGTCTTTCTTCAATAAAAGTCAAAGGCTGACATATATTTGTTAGCGTAGATGTATTATCTTGTAAAAGAGGAGGTAATCTTCTTGGAAGTACAGTAATTGTTGAATTTAAGCTACCAGCTTCTATGGTCCCATATCTTTCAAAAGTATAGATACTTTTTACTAAACAACATACTAATATAATATACACACAATATATTAGATATTTGAATGATCTACTAACTTGCATTCTAAATCACTTGTTTCAGAATTTTGAAATATAACCGATCCATGACTACCATGAGAATCTGAAGAAAGTAATGGTGTACTTTCTGATCCGCTATCATGGTGCGTATTTCTACCTTTCCAATGATCAGTAGGCATATACATAATTTAATCCTAACAACAAAAATAAACCAAATGTTATTATTCCTATGATAATTAAATGCAGTCTATAAAAATTTATATATATTATTGTATAACATACTTTTTTAAATTCTGCAACACATAATAATTAAATAGAATCCCATAGATATTACTTTTTTATAAAAATATATATAAAAATGCTGATCTTTTACAATTATTTTTTAAATTACATCAATACATTTTAAAATGAAAAACAAAAGAAGTACAGGAAACTTCACTAACAACACTATAATGTTTAAAACACATGTTTTCACTACAAAGTCTATTGGAAAACTGTATTCGGGATAGCTACTTACATATCTGTTTTGTAAACCTCGAACTTATATCAGGAATCCTTGATACAACATATATGTCCTCCTCCTCTTCCTCCCCTATCCCCTCCTGCCTCAATCCCCTTCTCTTTTCTTCCTGGTCTTATTCATGCTCTTATTTTGCCTACTGATGGTTACCACAAACTGTTTCGCACACATAAGTCTGACATTTTTTTTTAACATGATCTTGAGCTTTTCTAGAAGCGTAATTGCGATAATATGTTTGGGATAAATCAATACGAATGAAATTGAAAACGAATTATTTTCAAACGTGTTGTGATAACGTTTACAAAGATTATATTTGTTTTACGTAAGATTTGAATGATACAAGTTTTAATTAATCTTTTTAACTATCCGATAATTTTCATTGATTTATTCATTGTTATATCTATTTTTTCAAGTACTCTACTTATGCTATTTAAAAATGGCGCGTAAAGGCATGGGAGTCAAATATTCGACTTTTAATTATTTATCGAAGCGATAATTAAAATCAAATAAAAGTAATGAAATCTATCATTGTTTAAATAGAACGAAAAAAAAAACAAAAATTATAACGATTAATCGTATTCATTCTCGTTAATTTGATTTCATTATTATATGATAATTGTGATATTAAATCGTCCAACAAGTTTTTTGAAGTTATTCTTCGCGTAATTTGACATAAACAATATTTTTTAATTTACGTTATTTTACTGATTATTATACAATATAGAAAAATATAATAGAGATCAGAATGAGAATCGTATATTATTTGGTAAAATTAATATTAAATAAAAAGTATTATGCATGTAAAACTTGTTAAGAAAAAGCACAAAATTTTCAGGAAAATTTAGTATTTTTAGTTTGATTAGAAGTTAAAAAAGAATAAAGAATTAATTATGTATTTTTTTGTTTGTTTTTTGTTTATCTCATAAGTATATAAATATTTTATCTTGTTTAGAAATCCTTGATATGTTTTTAGTTCTGTATCTAAGCGCGCGCGCATATGTGGTGAGGTTGTGGGGGGGGGGGTCGCGATTTTTTAAGATGGTTGACCCGTGCCCTTGAATGTCATTGGTAGCGAAGTTAGAAACCCGTTGATAGAATTTAGTCTGCCACCGGACGTTGGCGAAGTTTATTCTATGTACAGATAGTATCGCATAATTACTTTTACTATTATTTCATATAATTTTCAAACAATAATAATTTGTTTAGTCATTCTCGTTGTCTTTTCAATCACGTTTAAATATATTAGAAAAAAAGAAATATGTCAAGCGCAGTGAGCAGTTCATCGGTGGAGACAAAAGTGTATGAAGGCCAAAAGCCGGGTACATCTGGACTTCGAAAGGCTGTTCGAGTTTTTCAACAGGAACATTATACTGAAAATTTTGTCCAAGCTATATTAGATGCTTTGGGTAACCAATGTGTCGGGTCTACTCTCGTTGTTGGTGGTGATGGACGTTATTATGGGAAAGATGCTGTTAAAAAGATCATTAGAGTTGCTGCTGCCAATGGAGTATGTTCATCAAATAAAACTATTGTTATTTTTAACGTTATTATACCTATATTTATGTAACGTAACTTAATAGAAATTAAGACATTTAAATTGTCTTATTGTGTGTCTTTATTTTTTATAGTTACAAAATTTGATTTCATTTATGATTAAACTGACACATATGATCTTCTAATGTATTTTTATTTCTGTTACACTTGGCAAAGCCAGCTGGCAATAACGACAAGAGTAATGCGACAATGACATCTATTATTTTAGGTAAGGAGGTTGATTGTTGGGCAAAATGGAATCCTTTCGACACCAGCTGTATCCGCTATAATTCGTAAATACAAAACACAAGGAGGAATAGTATTAACTGCGTCGCACAATCCTGGTGGTCCTAATGCTGATTTTGGAATCAAATTTAACTGTGAAAATGGAGGACCTGCTCCGGATGGAGTTACTAATAAAATTTATGAAATTACTAAAACGCTAAAAAGTTATAAAATAATACCAGAGATAAACATAGATATTGATAAAATTCAAAACGTTTCTATTCAAGTCGATGGGAAACCATTTGATGTTGACATAATTGATTCCGTAAATGATTATTTAGAACTTATGAAAGAAATTTTTGATTTTACTAGTATTAAAAGTTTATTGCAAGGAAGTGAACAAAGACCAGCTTTCAAGGTTCTTATTAATGGAATGAATGGAGGTATTGTAAAGATTTTATATAACTTTTAAATAACCATTTATATTCATCGATAAAATAATTAAAATTATGTTTTAGTTACGGGACCTTATATAAAACGTATATTTAGTGATGAATTAGGTGTTGATAATTCAAGTCTCGTTAATATAACTCCGTTAGAAGATTTTGGAGGACTTCATCCTGATCCAAATTTAACTTACGCCATAGATTTGGTAAACGCCATGAAAAATAATCCTAATAATGATTTTGGAGCTGCTTTCGATGGAGATGGAGATAGAAATATGGTAATAGTATTTGAATCTGAATAAATCATATATAAAATAGTATAAATTAATTGGTTTTATTGAAATTTCTACTTTAACATTATTGCAGATACTAGGAAAAAATGCTTTTTTTGTAACACCTTCTGATTCATTAGCAGTATTGGCTGCTAATTTAACATTAATACCTTATTTTCAAAAGACTGGTGTTAAAGGATATGCAAGATCTATGCCGACAGGTGCAGCTGTAGATAGAGTAGCTCTTAAAGGTGGAATTACATGTTTTGAAGTACCTACTGGTTGGAAGTATTTTGGTAAATATTATAATTAATATAGTCTTTTATTGTATTTCATCTATCGTGTTATAAAATAATGAATTAAATTAAATTATTAGGAAATTTGATGGATGCTGGTCGTCTATCACTTTGCGGAGAAGAAAGCTTTGGTACAGGTTCTGATCATATACGTGAAAAAGATGGCATATGGGCTTGTCTCGCATGGCTCAATGTTATCGCTAAACTTGGAAAATCTGTTCAAGACGTATTATTAGATCATTGGAAAGTTTATGGACGGAATTTCTTTACGAGGTATAAATTATAAATTATGCTGTTACGTTAGATAATAATTCGAGAATAATTTATATTATCGTTATGTAATACTACACATGTTTTCAGATATGATTACGAGAATTGCGAAGTAGAAAGTGCAAATAAAGTGATGCAGGAGGTTGAAACAGTAATTCAAACAGCAGGATTTGTTGGTAAAACCTTATCTTCAGAAAATAAAACTTATACTGTTAAACTTGCAGACAATTACTCGTACACTGATCCCGTTGATGGGAGTCAAGCCAATAAACAAGTGAGATTTCAATTTTTCTAAGTTTTATAAATTTATTTTAATTATATTATTATTTAATTATATTATTTTATAAATTAGGGCTTACGGATATTATTTGAAGATGGTTCTCGTATAATATATCGTTTATCCGGAACTGGAAGTTCAGGAGCAACGATTCGTTTATATATTGATAGCTATGAAAATGATCAATCTGTTTACGAAAAAGATGCTCAACTAATTTTAAAACCATTAGTCAACATTGCATTAGATTTAAGTAAATTATCTCAGCATACAGGACGCGATGCACCAACTGTCATTACATAAAGAGGTAATATATATTGTTCTCACAAATATTTCTTACGGTTACAGTTTTACTCATTATTTCATAATACAAAAGTAAAACTGTTTGTGAATAAATAAAAAAGAAACATTGTGCCATTCTATTATTATAATTAGGACAGATTAACATTGGAAAATTTCATTGTCCATTATTTAGTAATCTTTCCATTTTTATACAGATTTTTACTTACATTAATATGAAAGCAATATATTAATGTCTTGTTATAAAATAGCACACTATTCATATAGTGTCATAATCATTACGTTAATGTATCATTAAAATTGAAACTTAATGAGTAATTTAGATGCACATGTTTTGAATCGAACAATTTCTTATGCAAAACAATAAAATATATAATGGAAAAAAGACAATATAAATGTTTTGCTTCGATATAAAAATAATCTTAATCTCATAAAATTGTACCACTGCAAACAAATTATGCTATTCTTTCATTTAACTTTTATTATATTAGTATATGTATTTTTAAAATGTTCATTTTATAAAACAAGAAATAAGTTTTACATTAATATAGAAAAAGTCGGCACTAAAATTCACATTTTAATGCAAGTTATACATTTACTTTAATTTTTTATAAAAATCTCAATTAATTTTATCAAATTAAATAACCGTTGTACTAAAATAATTTAATGTAAATTTTTTGGTAACGAGCTTATGTTTGTAGTGATCACTAATAGTTATATATGATTAGAAAATAGTTCAAATGGCATCTGACACGGCTATTAAGTTCTAATTATACCATACCTTCTTACAAAGAAAATTAAAGTCTATTTAAGAATAAATATTTACTGCGAATAAATGAACACGCAGTTATTAGAAAAAGAATTATTTATAGAAGTTTAAAATATATGTAAAAATATTCGATGGAACAAATAGTAAAATATATACTTTGTTCTAATAATTAATTCATATTTTATAATAGTATATGATAATTAATTATAAAAACTACAATCGATGCGCTATTATTTTATTTTATCAGAAAAATATTAAAGTTAAAACCGTGTTACTTGTCAGTTTATTAAATCATTTGAACTAATATGAACTATCAAAACTATATAACATATAATAACGTATTTTGTTTATTTTATTGCTGTATATTATATTAGATATTCTTTATATATATTAGTAACAATTATTTATGAATACAAAAATTATATGTTCTATTAATCATGCTTTTTTTATGTGATCATTAAAAAAGAAAAAAAAAAAGAAAAAAAGCGAAAAAAAAGAAAGAAAAAAATGTTCGACATCATAATAATAAAATATTATATCAGAATTTGTATTTTATTGAAGCTATATTAATGTCTTGATATTGATCTTGATAAAGTAAATGAAACATAGAAAGAAGCATGAGTATATAAATTGCTTGGACGGTTTTTCAAGCATTGTGAAAATAATGACAGGAAATGTTTTATTTCTACGGTCAATATATATCACAAAGCTTGAAGAAATATATATCTTAATGTAGATACGATTCCTAATCATCGAGATACTTAGCATTTAGCATATTATATATGTTTTGTTAAGATTTAAATAATATTTAAATCTATCAAAAATTATTGATGAAAAGAAAAAATCATAATTACCGCATAAAAATAATTGTCCATTCTTAGACAAATTTGTATACATATGTCCATACTAATGATAAGTACGTACTATAGCAAAATGGAACAATTCATTTCTGTTTTTCTAATTTTATTATTATACTTTTTCATATTTATATATAACTAATAAATCTGCTCGGTATCTCACTGAAGTTAATTGATAGGGTAAAATATGTAGAAAAATATATATAAAAAGAGAAAAATTTGATTAACCGTTACAATATATATGTATATGTATATGTATATGTAACAAAATCTACTCACCATAAAAAAGGTGTGTGTATAAATGACACAATTAATCAATGGAATGGTAGATAGTAGTGTACATTTTTTGTAGCAATTATAAAGAAGTATGTCAAAACATTGGTATATAACAATAATAATAACATTCATATATATATATATATATATATTTTTATAATAACAATAATAATAATAATATATTATCTTTTATTTTTATTTGTTTAATTTTTTTTTTCTACTAATAATATTAAATGCTATCAGAACAATTTACAAAGAAGCATTCAAGTAAGAGAACAATTTTAGCTTTCAAAAAAACAAATCGATGAAACGAAGAACATGTCATTTTCATATGTTTATTTTTTCTTCGTGATCGACACCATTATTAAAATGAAAAGATATGCAGCAATATATAATTCAGAAGATATATTAAAAATAATAAAAGAAACTTAATCATGAAATTAACTACACATTTTGTGCAAGATGCAATTGCCGGTGTTTGAAGAGATTGTGGAGAGCGAATTTTGTAAATAGTAGAAGAAGAAGAAGAAGAAGAAGAAGGGGGGGATACTTGGGGACCTGAGCTGACACAAACTCCCATTCAGCTTATTGCCATTGTCATAGAGTGTTTTCAAGAATTTTGGATGGTTCATAAAGAAAAAAAAAAAAATAATAAAAAGATGGAAGAAAAAAAAAAAGAATGGAAAAAGAAAATTTAAAAATACTCTCTATGACATAGCAATGATCTGCAGTGCGGTAGCAGTGTCATAGAGACCAGCAATGACTGCCGATTTTACTGTAAAAAGAAATGTTAACATATAACATTTGTATCATAATAAATACTAATTATCATTGTAAGGAAATAAGCCAGTGGCTATGCATTAAGCACGCAATCTTAGTTTCAACAATATGGCCAAATAATTAATATTCATTTTGATAAATATCTACGTTGCATATGTGTGCACAGAGTATGCAAAAACAAAAAGAATATATGTAGACTTTTTATTTAAAACTTAAAATATTGTCAGATTGTTATTTGATATTAACAAATCCCTACAATGAAATATATTGAAAGGAATGATTGTGTCAAAGATAATACTTTTAATTATAACGAATATCTATTCTACTTGTGTAAAATATTACAATATTTTATTTTGTACAACGGTATATATTTGATTGGGTATATTTTATTTAGAACAATGAGCATCGATGATGATAATTATGAAAGAACTTTAGTGTCGACTAATTACTATATTTTCTATACAATCACATAAACATGCGAATATCATTTGTAATGAAATTAATCTAATCATATATGTTTTATAATTTGTACATTGTAGCAGAAATTGGGAAAAAACATTAATAATTTTCAATAAATATTCAACTTCATTTAATATAAATGATAATTTCAATTTCAATTTATTTTATACTTCTAATATAATTATAAAATGATACAATGTGTAAATTATAAATTGATTGATATTGTGCATTTGCATCCAAAATATTCTTTTTTAATTATTCTTATTTAACACTAGATGGAAATAGTGTTGTTCCCTCCCCCACATTTATATTCAAACTTAAATATTTAATAAATACAGTTGTATGTACAATTTGAAAACGCATAATTTTGTCTGTACAATGGAAAGTAATAATTTAGAAATGTCAAACAACTTTTGCTCTGATTGTAAACTTGTTTTAAAATCTATATACAGTGTTGGTAGCGCGTCTTCAATAAACGAATGCGAATCATTAAGCGATAAATCCAAAGATCGTAATTCATTATTAGACGAATATAAGACAAATTTGAACGAAGAAATAATTAATAAAAATAATGATAAATTGAAGAATCCACAATATTTTTCTTATAAGAATAAGTCACCTTTACCAATATTACATACCAATAAGAAAAATAATATTACATCACAAGAAGGACATACATTATTAGATAAAAAAAGTCCAATAAAAAAATTACCAAAAATATATAGTTTTGATAATTATAAAGAACGTTTGAATAATTCTAAACCTAAAATTATAGAAGATAAAATATTAAAAGGTATTGAACAATTACCGATGAATACTTGGAAAAGACAGAAATTACAAACTCCAAATAATAAACATGATGATTTTACTTTTAACCAAATTTGTTTTATGAACTCTAAACAATGTAAAACTACAAAATATGATAATGAAAAATATTGTCAAAAGGAACAAAATAAATATACTGATTTTAAAAGTTTGTACAAATCAAAGATGCAAAGCAATTGCGTTCAAATGAATTTTCTTGAATTATCAAAGCGCTTTGACTCTTCAAGTAGAAAATGTGAAACTGATTTTACCAAAGAACCTAATTATATCGTGCAACTTAACACGTTAAAAAATACTATATTAAATCGACGTAAAAAAGTATTAAATGTAGCTCAAAATTTATTGATGCTTAGGTGAGATATAGTCCTTTACACATTACATATTTATCCTTTCTTTTTTAATGTAAATTATATAATTAATTAATTTAGCTCCTATCTTCAAGAACTCTGCAATTCTATGTCAGGAACAAAAGTTCTAAATCCAGACATAGAAAATACAAAAACAAATAAAGATACTAATTTAAATATAAATCAAAAAGTAGATAAAAGTACTAGTCCGCTTTTATTTTCTGAGAGCAGCAATCCTGTTGTAATAAATAATCCTACAGAAATGAAAACAAATAGTCGAGATATGTATACTTACAATCCATATCGTACTAAAAATAATTTGCAAAAAAAGATGTAATTATATTATTATTGAAGGGTGTATATATATAGAAACGATTTCATTGGAATAGAAACAATAACTTATTTATTTGAAAATATAAAAACAATTTTATTTTATGTGCTTATTCATTACATCATATCGTAGTCATCTCTCTGTAACAAATAATATAAAATTTATTAACAATGTTATATAAGTCAAAAATATGTATTAATGCTTAATGAAATACTTACAGCATCATGGTATTCCATAATATGCTTTTTAATGGCAGATGTATTGACCCATGTTACAAAATCTTCAAGATTTCTAAAATAATAACGCAGTGAGTTTTTTTTTTTATTAATGATCTTCTAATTTGTATAATATTAATATCTTAAATTAATGTGTTTACTGCGTTTATTACCTTGTTACTAAAAATGCTGGATCTTTTATTAATTCTGTTCCCACTCTAACATGCCCTTGTTCGATAAACTGGGTTGCCAATTTTATATTTTCACTCATTTTATTACGAACCATGATAACTGGCAATCGTCTTCTACAAAATGAACTTGCATGTACTTTTTGCGTAAGGGATAAGTCAGATTTATGAGATATTAAACCCATTATGTATAATTTCTCCAATAACATTGCACTTTGTTCTATGCGAAATGGATTATCAGCATCAAGCTCTTTAATTTTCTCTCCTAATTCTCGAATTTGACGAGACAATTTATTGTATCTATAAAATGAACATATTCAAGTTAAAAATCATATATTAAATACACACACACATTTTACACATTAAATTTTATTAAATATTATATAGAATACAAAACAAAAAAAAATTTGTATACTTTGTATAATCACTCCTTTTCTGAATTCTAAAACGTCTTAAGATTTCGACTTCATGTAAATTGTTATCCGCTTCCCAGGAAATAAAATCAACTTTCTTTAATAATTTTTTCTCGTGATATTTTAATTTTCGCACCATGTTTGTTTATAATAACTTAATAAAAACGTGAATATTTATACACAAAACTTTTCTCAATCAATGAGGTTAGAAACACGTGTGTAGCTAGGATTACCAAATTATAAAAAATTAATTCGACTAGTAACAGTACGTCCTAGAGACTTTAATCTTAGGTAGGCACGAAACAAAAGACGTCAATCTTTAATGCACAAGTTGCATAAAAGAAAATGTTTAGTACGGGAATTATAATAAAGTGCAAAGTGCAATGTTAGCAAGGAAAGTCATAGTGCATCTCGTTTTCTTCAGATTATTTCTGTTGTATATATGGTGAAGACATCAGCGGCTGTTAGGGAAAAAGCACATAAGCAAATAGAAGTAATGTCTCATTAAATGTATTTTAATTATAAATAGTTTTAATTTTATTAATAACGTAATGTTTGAAATTTCTAAAAAATATCTTCTTTTTAGATCTTTATTTATAGGTTAAGAATAATAACCAATAATTTTATAATTCTTATATTGTTAGGTTATAATGTTTGTAATATACATTATTATTTAACATATTATTATATATTCCTACATATTAAAGAAAAAAAATATAAGAATATGAACCAATCTATATTTTTTTTATAAAATTATTTTAACTATAAAATTGAACGCATATTAGGCACTGCTTATATAAAAATATATTGTTTGTCATTGCGTGCAAATGTATAAGGGTAATCAAATACATAATGTAGAATTAATTAATTTCATGTATGTTAATATTATGTAAATGGAGGGTTTATTGATGATATAATATTAATTTTCATTCATATTACCGCGGTATATATATAGAAATAAAAATTTCAATCATATAACTTACATCTTAACGCAGTTGAGACTTAATATAACTCATTAATTATTAATATAAATTATTATGGATTAATATAAATAATATTAAATATGTTTTATTAAATATTCCAATTGCAGCAAACTTTGGTACTTGTAAATCAAAAAAGCACTAGTAAATATATACTTAAGCGATAGTTAAAGTAATCTTATAGGACGTAGTTAATAAAAACATTATCCTTATTTAAGTTTTGTAGGCATGAACAAAATATTTTTTAGTTATACAATGATCTTCTCATTGGAAGCCCATTCGTATTTGCAGGGAAGAACATGTTGATATCGATATGGAATTAAAAAATAAAAACCTATATATATATATATCTATATATATGTATATACTATCGTATAATATATGAGACCTTACATATTATAATAATTTGTTCATAACATAATTGTCTGTGTATAATATACTATGTAAAGTATATAGAGAGTACAATTCATATCACAAGTAAAAAATAAGCTAATTTTTTTCTTAATAGATCAGTACAACTTTTAGAAGATTTCGTTTTATAAATAGTATGAATAGATAAATCAATATTTTAACAATAATAATTTCATATTAAATTTTATCGACTATAATTATTATATAGCCTTGTTTGATGACTGTTACAATCAATTTTTCTTTTAATTAGCACCTTTTTTTCTTTTTTTTAAGTTGTAATAAATCAAATTTAATCATAACCAATTACAAATTTTAATTGTATATATTAGAGCTATTAAAGGGAAAATAATAATAGTAAAAAAACAGAAAAAACAAATTGGGAAAAGATACAATTGTAATTATTTGTCTTTAGGGATTACTATTACAGAGAAGATTTATATATATTACTTTCTTCTTACTCTTATCATTGCAATATATTCCCAATAATATACGTATGATAGATAAGAGGAAGAAATTTCTTGTGGATATTTATAAAATTGTGCAATAAACATTAAAATGTAACTTATTCGAGTCAGGATAATTTTTGATTAATTTACAATATTTTAAGGAATTTCAGTATACAGTAATAATTCTTTTCTATTTGCTTTTAGACAATAAAATGTATTTGTCCGCGGGGGAGGTGGGACAAAATGATTATTAAATTTATAATAGAGCAATAGAGGCGCAACAAATATGTAATAGAATTTTTTGAATAACAATGAAAAAATTGATCTTGGAAGATGTAATGACATTTGAAATGGTATTAAATATTTAATGAATAGCTTATAATCTAACATTATAATTATGTATCCTTAGATCATCGTAACATTCAACATACTATATATAAACATGTTTAATTTTTAGGATCAATTTAGGATCAATCGATTTACTATTATTTACATAGCTTAGATGGAAAGAAGCATGTAAATAAATTTGATTGATAATAAAGTACATAATACTTATTGTATTACCGTAAAGCATATAATAATCACATTCATTTTATTAAATAAAAAAATAATTCATTTTATCAAAACAAAAATGCTTTTCTTTTTTTTTTTCTTTAATCATTACTAACTCATCACATAGTTATAGTTTTAAGCGACTTATGTACTTTAATTGCACTCGTAATTATTTATAAAAGCAAATTGTATTTAAATAAGAAAAGCGAGAAAACAAACATTTTACATTTCTTTTTGATAATATATAATTTCACATGAAATAATCAATTTGATTACACTGCTTTACAATTATTATATCGATAAGTGAATAAGTAATTATTAAAAAAAA